TCTCATTTTGTGTTGCATCCTTCATATTCTAACAGTATACTTTGGAAAGTTTACTTTTAAATTATGTTTGTTTTTTTAAGGTTTGTTAGGTTTATACAGCATTTAAGAATTGTACATAAAGGATTCATTTTTCTACCTGTCGAATATGTCAAATCACTGAAATAAAAGGCAATTGACTGTGTTAAAAGCAATTCAAGCCTTTCTGAAGCACTGACAAGAGCAGAAACCAAGTTCCCAGCATTACTTTGTGCCAATAAAAAGAAAACCTCAAAGGAAGAAGCTGTTTCTAAGCACTGCACAAGGTTTGCTACATCTTTAAACAGGGAGGTAAATTCACAACAATGTACACATGGAGTAAGGGAACAGGGGAGAAAAAAGAAAGTTATCTCCCTGTCTACTAATGAAAGATTTTATTTAATGTTTACGGTACATACTGGTGCTTTTTCCAAAACACACGTCTTAAATCGAGTTGCAAAACTTTGACTTAATTAAAGCATACTTAGATAGACTTCTCAATGCTGTCATCAATATCGTTATTTTTAGTAACCTATCACTATGGCATAAAAATTTAAAGACCTTACAAATGTTAACGATTAAAAAACCTCTATAGCTCCACTTTTGGATACTTGAAACCTGTATATTCTTCAGATGGGAATTTCTGTCTCATAGAAGAAACAACACAAGCTGGTGGTATCTGTCTTTCATGCTTTCCCAGCCTATGCCAAATCCATCGCACAAATTGCCTGTAACTGATGTACCTAAACAGCTTATTTAAAGAACAAAAAAATTGTATTACTTGTTTATCTAAACAGCCTATTTAAAGAACAAAAAAATTGTATTACTTGTTTATCTTAATCTAAAACAGTTAGCATTACATACTAACTATGTTTTATAGTGTTTTTTTGGCATAGTGAATAAACAACATGTTTTCTCATTTTTGAGTGAATTATGAATTATTTTTGAGTGGCTTGGGTAAATCGCCCTCCCCCAACCCTTAAAAGTGTCTGCAAGTGGATCAGTTGCAAAATATTTTAAGTACGTAACCTTTAAACGTGATATTACTGCAAGTAATGATAACTCACTCAAACGTTGGTGAATCATCAAGATATGTTTCACCTTCAATGTACTGGTAAAGTGCTGTAAGAACAACAGCTGTATTCAAGCAGACCACCTGGAAGTCCATGTCATCAACAATACAGACCAAGTTTTTCTCCTATGCCTTCTGCCTAACCCTTGGTACTTCTTTTCACGTCCTGTAGGCATTTTTGAGCATTTTCCACACTTGCACCTGAAAATGTCGTATCATTTTATTGGAAGGCATAGAAACCCAAGAAGGGCCTGGCCTCTACTTTAAAATTTAAAACATACTCTTTTTGTCAGAAATTTACCATTTCTATTAAAAACCCCCTCATTGATCACACAAGAGCCCTTCCTTCAGGATTAAATACCCTTCTGTTGGCATTCATACCATCCCAAACAAAGTAATAAATCCTTGTTGACTATGCACGTCCTCTCTATCCAAGAAAGTAGCCCTTGCGGGATGCTTCCACCTTCCTGCAGTAATTTTTTAAAGTTTAGTAACTTGAGTTTATTTAGGTTCTCAATTCATACATACATGTGTTGTGTTAATGATTAGTATATAACAAAACAAAAAAAGGTTTAGGCCACTTCCGACTATATCGCAGAAAATAATGTTAAATAAAAACAATAATTTGTTTAAAATATGTACAATAAAGAAAATCTGCTTACCAGTAAGTTTCCCCAATTCGTTCTGTGTTGATGTCTAGCTCTTCTTCATCCTCGCTACTGCTGCTATCCTCGTCAATGGATCCAACGACACTTTCGTGGTTTACAACATCATCCTCGCCTGGCTCAAACATATACGGCTGCACCTGGATCCTTTTAATGACGATAACTTCGTTTTCAAATGCTTGCTTGTCAGAACTGTGCGCCATTTTCTCCAAAAATTGAAATAAAACAAAAATTTTTCCCAAAAACCTCACCTGTGTGTAAACGCAATGGAAAAACATTCCCAAACCAGTGATTACATATGATGTCACTATTAGTGAACTAGGCGCCCGCAAGATGATGCACAGTCAATCCCGTCCTTTCTCGGAATCGCTCGGATTTTGCCAGATTGTAGGAAATTGGAAGCAAATTTTGCAAAACTAATTTCAGATTTGAATCTAGCTAGTTAATTTGCATTTGTTCCACTTAAGTTATATTTAGGTCGAATTTCTCCTTTAAGTTTTTTCATTAAGGCCTAAGTAGACTATGGGACTTATGGGAACCTCACCTTTCAGAGAAGGCAAGTCGAGGAGAGGGATCTCATCCTTTAGTATATCTTTTATTTTGGCATACTTCATCTTTTTGATGTTCCTGTTTTTGGAGTTCCACAGGCTTTCGCGACTACGGAGGGCTTCTAACAATGTAGATGTGGTTTGATCTGTCAAAATTAGTCTGGCGGTCATTCCAACTTCATCTCCTCTTTGCTCCTCTTCGACAGCATCACTATCACTATATGATGATGCTACTGATACTACTGAATTGAATTCTAAGGAAATGCTGGAGACGTATTTTGTTGCCTGGGTTCTTGAAGAAGTTTACAAATTCTATTGGAGGTGGCAGCTTATCTTCCTCTCTAATGAAAACATTTCTTGTGCCCTCAATATAGGAAGATGCCTCTGCTTGGCGATCATGCTCACTGTCTTTGATGCTCATCTCCAAGTCACATGGGTCGTTAACAAGGATGATTTCAGATGCACTTCTGTGTCTTGACAAAGCAAGGGAAAAACACTATCAGCATAATCACTCCATCTTTCTTTTCCCTGTCCTCCATCGAAGGCATAGCCAGTCTTCATAAAAACTCCATATCAACTAATGCAGTGTACTTGTTGATTTGGTTTAATGACACAAATTTTAGTCTTTCAACTAACTTTGATGCTCCATTACTTGCACAATATCAATTTGCACAATATTTTACATACTGTTGTTTTTGACTACCAATAGTTTTTGTTAATTAATTCACTATTAAAAAAAGAAGAGAATAAAAAAGAATAGAAGAAGTTTTGCCATCATTGTCCCTTTTCTTTGGAAGAGCTACTTTTCAGCACGTAGAGATCTTTTCTTTGACTGTCGTTTGGCAACTTTATGTTTCTCTCTAACATCCTTGGCAAAAGAAAAAGTTATGACTCTTATAAACAGTGTTAGCATGTGCTCCAGTAGATCCATGCAAACATCTTTATGAATTTGAAGGTTGGCATCCAAACAGGTTTCATTTTACTAGGATAAGACAGAGGAATCTTGTAATAGTTCAGTAACTATGTCTTTGCAAATTATTGTTGTTTTAAAAGAGGACGTTTTTGACCGAAACAACAATTCAGCACCTAGGAAGACATTCTCAATCCTTATGTTGACTCTCCATAATCCTCCTCGGTCACGGATATTGATACGAGATTGGGTGTCATCACTCTCCACTTTACATGATTGCAGAATGGAAGTATATTGCTGTTATGTGTTTCGCTTATTATTTGTTGAATAGAGGAATTTAGAATACAGTTTATGCAAAATGAATCCAGCAAGGTATTGAAGGCTTTTATTTTCTTTCTCTGACAAAGACTTTGGTTTATGAGAAATTTCCAAACAGGCAAGGTTATCACCAGACAAATGAATAAGTAAATGAGTTGCCACTTCAGCCATCAGTGCATTTGTATCTGGAGCTTCATCAAATTTTGACGGAAGAACAGTATCAAGTATCATTGAATAAAAACCAGAATAAAACTTTTCAGCATCGCCTTTAAAACTATCAATAACATTTCTCAACTTAGACCACAACTCTATAGCATCATCATTTGTAAAAATGAATGCTTCTTTGGCAAATTTCTGTCGGAAAGATGGAGGATAACATTCATCTAAAAATACCTTTTCGGCACACCTCAAAACTATGGCTTTTAATTGAAGAGGATGCAACTTTCGGCGACTGATTTCATCAGTTGAAGAAGAGAGAGACAAGGGTAAAGATGATGGCATATTTCCTTCAGTGCCTGACACAGTACCAGTGTCACGATCATATAATTTTCCGTGCTTTCAATTGAAATGCCTGGTTAGTCCGCGGCGAGATCTACAGGCCTTTTCGCAGACATTACATTTAAAACCCAAAGCAATTTTTTCATCTCCAGGTACTTCAGCGGCTATCTCTTCAATTTCCTTTATGAAATCATCATCATTATCAAGAAAACCACCTTCAACTAAATATAATATATCTTCAAGATCATCGGAAGCTAGAGCGGCCTCTGACTTCTCCGCCATTTTTCTGAAGTGTGCACCTTCATGTTGTTGTTGCGCACTTTTCAACATAAACTCGCGAACAACGAAAAAGAACAATAGGGTATTGTTTGCTTCCAGACTATCCGTTCTTATGACTATGTTGGGATGGATGCAGTTAAAACATTTGCTTTGGAGAAATCCCCAATGAAACCAAATTTGAAATTCAACGTGGAGTACATTAGGAATGATTTGCCACTGGAGGAAGTTTTTGCACCAATATTATTGGAATTGAAAATGTATAAGAGGCAAACTGCGAAAACACTTATATTTTGTCAAACAATATCTCAAGCAGCTATCATTTGGAGAATATTTGAATTCAACCTTGGGAAAGAGATGTATGCTCCTGAAAAGCAAGTACCTGATAACAGGCTAGTTGAAATGATTCATGCAGGTACACCCGAATAAGTCAAGCAGCACATTATTTGCAATTTGACAAAGGAACAGAGCAATACAAGGGTACTTGTATGCACAATAGCTTTTCGCATGGGGATTCATTGCAAGGGAGTTCATCATGTTGTGCATTTTGGACCTTCAAAGTCAGTTGAAAGCTACTTGCAAGAATGTGGGAGAGCAGGAAGAGATGATGCAACAAGTTACTGCCACTTGAAAGATAAACAGGAAAAAAGCAATATGTCCACGAGAATCCAGTATCACGGAATAAAATTTTCAAAATAAATTAAATTTATAGAGTATACTAATATTTCGCCTCAGCATACAGGGCTTCATTAGAGTAAGAAGCCACTTGTCATCAGAGTTACTGCCACTTGTTTTACAATGGTTTTCTTCAAACTCATTGTAGTGATGATATAAAACAGTACATCCAATCTCAAGAATGCAGGTGCCAATCAATTCTCCTCAGGTTTCCTGGAAAAAATACCCTTGTTGAAAGCATATCACATTGTGAATGTTGTGATATCTGTGCAAAGTACAGAGGAATGTAATATTTGACAAATGCAAAAAACAAAACTTTTCTTTCACAAATAAAGCCAATATTTAAAGTGTTGAGAGAAAACGTGAAGTCAGTAGACAAAAATAAGGTGAGTCAATTATTAAAACAGAACATGGATGAAGTTATGGTATCTTAACTAACTCCACGCTGTGTTTATACAGAATTTTCACAATACCACGTAACACAATTTTTAAAAAGCTTGGAGTATATTTTTATGAAACAACTTTGAAGCAAAATGTTGAAATCTGGAGAAATGAGAACGCTTCAAAAATTTTGAAAATACATTGATCCCGAGGAATATGATGATGTAGCATTCAACAACAGTGGACTGTCTATTGAAGATGACAATTGTGATGAATTGCAACAAATTCTAGATGATACAGAATCTAGATTGCACGACCAAGTCTTAACAGCAGTTCCATTTAACAATCTGTAAGACGAAATTTAACGCAAAAAAGGAAAATAGACTTGAGCCGTCATTTATCAAGAAAAAAACTGACTGATGAAAAAATGGAGACCTGGAACTTCATCGGCTTCAACAGACGCAATGGAAAAAATACGCCCAGATTTTAAATTTTAGGATCTGTCTAGAGAAGCTGACATGAATTTTTTCAGTAGATTTGAGAGTAGAGAGATTTTTAAACTGACTTTTGAACATTTAAAGCAAACGACAGCATCAATGACTTACTGGAGAGGGGACAAAACCACAAAAACCCCAATAAGAGCTTCCTGAATTAGAATCTGAGATGTGTGAGGCTGGTTTAGATAAAAAAAAATGTAGTCCTGTACGAAAATTGCAAGAATTTTTAGCCGTGAAGATAAAACTGAGGGTCGGCCTTTTAGTTGATTACATTGCCTTCAGATTTAAGATTTTGCGTGCACTCGTCAGTTCAGTGTTTTTTACATGGGTAAGACTGATGGAAAAAGAACTTTGAGGCCTTATCATATGGGTTGAACGAGAAGCAGTGAGGGAAAATTTACCGGAAAGTTTTTGCAAGAATTATCCAAAATGCCACATCATAATTGACTTCACAGAAGTATTTATTGAAACCCCCTTTTTCTTGAGGTTGCAGCACAATGCTGGAGCAATTACAAGCATCACCATACTTTTAAGTTTTTAGTCAGTATTACGCCAAATTATACCATCAGTTTCTTGTCGAAATGCTATGGTGGGCAAGCTTCAGATATCCACATTACTGAAGAAAGTGGCTTGGGGAAAAAACTGCTTCCTCTTGATCAAGTAATGGCTGAGAGGGGGTTCAAAATTGAGAACTATTTGTCATACAACCAGTGCATGTTACCAATACCTCCCTCGACAATAGGCTCAAAGCAAACGGACAAGACAGATGTCCAAAATAAAACAGTTATTGCCAATGTGGGAATTTTTGTAGAGAAGACTGCCTATGTTGCTGCTTCCATTTGCTGATGACATTGTCACTATCTGTGCAGCTGTAGTAAATTTTAAAATTCCCTTGCTTGAACAATGAAGCTGAAACTTTACTATCTTTAAACTAATTGTCTGTAATTTATCGTATTAAGAGATGAAAAAAGTGAACAGTTAAAAATAGTATTTGTGTTCATTCAGAAAGAAAATATATGCAAATATAGAAAGAGATAAATTCTAAGCTTATAGATCTGTCTTTTTGTATTTTCCAAACAGAGTACTGCATGCTTATAATGTGAATTATGTGTAATAGAAAATTTAAAAGTTTCTGATGCATGATTTGCAAAACCATTCTCCCTCTGGCACTTTCGCCACTTTTATGCAAAACCAATGATGCCAGAGTTTGTAAGAACAGCACTCAACAGTCTTTTCGCCATTGAATTCAATTTTGTCCTGTTCAAGGCAAACTTAATGGCAAATAGAACAGTAGCAAACTTTCCTCAATCCTAATAATGCTCTTACGATATACGATTTAAAGAATATTGCGGAATTTTTTTCGCATTCCGTGTTTCGCATTCCTCCCATTGATTGATGTGGAAACGAATTTTCTCCACAAATGGTTGACCTTTAGGTTTCCAAACAACAAAATACGCATATTTTGCACCAATGATAGCCATTTGTGCATTAATTTGGCTGAAATATTCATGCTCCTTGCTTAAATGTAGAATGCCATCATCTCCCCTTTTCAAAAAAGATAAGCTATCAGCCCCTCCGCAACAGTCGTTTCACGTATAGCATACGCAAACTTGTATTCCACTGGCAAATGTGTTTCTTGGCAGCAACTGCATACAAAAATGTTATCGGACGTGGCTCTTAAATAAGGAAAAGTCTTATGCACTTGAAGGCCTGACTGCAAAAGGTTATCATTTTTATGGATTTTGATAACTGTTTCACTGAAGGCTTTTCGTGCATTGTCTTTGTGATCTCGACCAAACCATACAGCTGGTAATTGGCCGATTTCGAAATCCCTCAACAACCTGGCAAGGAGAGGAGTGACTTTGGGAAATTTTCTTCTAGCTCTAGTTTGTTTTGGTAAAAACGTCTCAAATTTTCGTTGCTGTAATGTAACCTAATCCTGCTCTTTCCAAAGCTGCAAGCTGTTCTGTGTCCTTGTACGCTTCTCGAGCTGTTTCAGTTGAAACTTGTTAAAAGATAATCTATCCATGAAAGCTCCAACCAAAACCTGCTCATTGCCAACACTTTAAAAACGGCAGGATTCGGTTTTTTTCCCGTTACTCGGTTAGTAGCTTCTCAATGAGCTCTTTTTCAGTGGATAACAAATGGCTCTGGCGTGAATCAAATCCTTTCTTGAACTGACTGTTCATTTCCCTAGCTTTTTCCCTTTTATTGCTTCATGCTTTCTAACAAATAGGTCTTTGATTTTTTGTGGTCCAATGTGCTTTTTTGTAATTCTCTTCCACGCGCATGCCGTATTGGTACACGCAAGATCAACAAACCTTTTCACATTTGCATACTCTACTTAATAGAGCGCAGCTACAACATCATTGCAGCATTCACCCATCCCAGCTGTACATCAACAATATGCACATTGCCGTCTTTCTCGCTCAGAATCCAGACACTTCTTGGTTCTTCATTGATTTTCTGTGATGGTGTAACATTGACCTTCAAAATCACACGATCAGGTCTTACAGGGAAGCAGAGGTTTTTATCGACAAATCCGCTCTTGAAATATGAAAAGGCTTTTTTCGCTTTGTATTGGCCAATATATTCAGTATCAAAAGCCTTCTTGCTTATGATGTATGAGAAGATTTTTCCTAAGTCCACCCGTGACCAAAGTGAAACATTCTCAATCCATTTCTCATCTTGGCAAGTGGATCAATTATTGAATGATCAGATAGAAGCTGTTGGTAAGTGTTTTGCAATTTCCTCTCAAAGCTCTACAATGTCTGAACTGATAGGTATGTTCTGTTCAAATGCCACAAATACCGTTGCTGCAATTGAAACCTTTTATCAAACTTGAGATAAACCTCTTTGCGCCAAGGAAAATTCTTTTTCAGCCGTGCTGATTTCAAGGAAATCAGCGTATGATAAAACATCTGTTTTACACAATGACTCAGCCATATTTTTGCTAATACGGTATGTACTCGGAATAACTTTGTAAACTTCGCAAACTGTCTGTTTAAGGAAAACTGAAGTTTTCTAAAAATACACTGCTTTTGAGTCAGCTAGAGCATGGCGTTTGAAAGAGGAGGGGTATGTGAATAGCCAATCAGAAGAGGCAGGGGCGGCGGGAAGCAATAAAAAATTGCTATTAATCACGAGCGAAGCGAGTGAACAACGTGGGTCCGGGGGCCACGCCCTTTAAAAGGGCGGAAACGCCCATCCTTTACAAGAGGGATACAGATATAAAGTTATCACTGCTCCTAAATGATGGTCTATTTTCCAAAACTACGCTCGTTTCTGAAAAATCCACAAAAATTTCTATTAAGATACGAAATATTTTGAAAAAAAGAAAACATTTCGTCTAAGCTCAAACATTATTGTTGTTTTTATTTTATTTTTACAACAAACGTGTATCGCAAATTGATCATTTTTTCAAGCACATCTATGAAAAAAATTGCAGTTATTTTCTTGAAAATCGTTCGAGCCGTCGCTGATTGCTCTCTCTGAACCTGCTAACAACATTGTGATAAAATGTTGGTTGTTTTGCCAATGATCGCAATGTACCATGCTCAACTTGTAAGAAAACAAGGTGTTCCTTTCTTTCTTGCAGCATTCTTGATCTCGATTCTGAAATCACTCTTTTCATACGGCTGAACACTCTTTCGCAGTGTACGCTTGTGAGTGGGGTCACTGCTGCAACTTCCAGGAGAACCATTGCCTGCGGAAGAGCATCTGCAAGGGCCGTGCTATGTATTACAGTGAGCAGGTCTTGCATACTCAATGTTTCTCCGTGTACAATGTCTCCCTCAAGACCCGTACTTTCTCTAATTTCAAATTCGTCAATTTCTTCCACGTCTATCACCTCTTCCATCACCTGGTCACCAGAGCTACTTTCCTCGCGATGGCTTGCTTTATTACTTCTGTGCCTTGCTCTCCTTTGCTTCATGGCTCTGTTCCTTTCGTTCGCACATTTACGAAGAAGCAGCGAGATCTCATGGTTATTGTATAAAACTTCCAAATTGTGTTCCACTGAATTTATGTCATGAACGGCAAATGGGTACAAATCTCCGAATTCTCTGATGAGCTCTTTTATCTCATTAGGAGGCCTTTTGACATTCTCTGCAAACTTGGCAGGGTGAATCAGATCCATCCACTTGAATTTTTTGAGGTTCTCGAATCTCCATGAAATCTGCCCTGAAAACTCGATGCATACTTTTGATGCCACAATCGACAGCTTCTCTTTCCAAGCATCTTCGGATCCATTATTGTGCGTTTCCCTTCCTCTCCATCCTGCTCTGGCTCGTTCTACGGGGAAACTTGGGTCCGCATCGAGTGTAATTTGCCAAATGTCTTCAAAGCTTAGTGCAGCAAGAAAACGTTGGAAGTCGTCGAGCATAGATCTCAGCTGAACAGCATCCAATGTTGGCTTCTGCATAACGGTGATAATTGGCGTGCAATGCTCAAAGATCTTCCTGTACAACTTCAGTAAACATAGAAAGTCAACATTTTGGATGTTGGCAAGAAGACCTCTGGCTGTCGTTTGGGTGTCGACTTTCTCTCTCCCATTCGAAGACATCTGGTATAAGACTGTGCCGATTGTCTCGTAGCACGAATCGATTGCAGTAATGGCCGTGTCTCGAGAAAGCCACCTTGTATCACCAGGCTTTGGAAGATTATATCCAAGGTATCGCGTTCGCTTGGGACTGCTTCGGAAAAACGTTATCAGCTTGTCTAATATTCCAAAGAATTTAGCCACTTCTGGGATTTTCATCGATGACTGCGACGCACAAAGTGACATCCTGTGTGCAACGCAATGGTTGTAGTAGGCAAGTGGAAAGTAATCTCGCATTCTCTTTTGCACACCATTGAGCTCGCCACTCATTGTCGCCGCACCATCATATGATTGTCCAATCAGCTTTCTCTTTCCTGTCTCAGGAGTAACATTGTAGCTCCCTAATATTTTTATCATGATCTTTGTAAGCCCATCAGCAGATTGATCGTCAGATGCATCTGTGAGGCCAAGCAAATGTTCTTCGACATTCCCATCATGAATAAGTCTCACTGAAACAGCCGACTGCTCCGTGTTGCTCAAGTCACTGGTGTCATCCATCATTACGGATAAACATCTGGAAGCACTTACTCGATTTCGAATTTCATTCTGGACTTCTTGGAAAATGCATTTGATCAATTCGTTTTGTGGGTCGTGGGAGGTGTAACTTATCCGTTCCTTGTCTAGGAAAACTCGCAACTCTTGACTGTAGTTCCCTAACAAGTCCATCAATTCAATGAAATTTCCCCTGTTTGGAGAGAATTTGTCTTCAGAATGCCCCCGGAAAGCGAGTCCTTGGGCAGACAAGTAGACTGCAACATCAATATGGTGCTTCATCATCTTTGAATATCTTGATGCATTTTCATTATGTCTCAGAATTTCTCTCTGTCTTGCTTCATCAAGTGCACTGGCCACATCCACATTCCCTAAAAGCTTGTACGAAGCGTGACATGTCATGTGACTTTTTGATTCTTGGTGCCTGTTAGCAACATTCGACAAATTCCTGCCATCAGATGCAAATCCAGTTGGTTGCACGAAGCAAGCCTTCATCTGAAATAAATTATGTGAATAAATTGATAAAAATTCTTCTATTATCACCCACATTTTTATAAAAGTTACAGTGGAGTTGCAACCTTGTTTTTTATATTTAGCTCGATTTTAGCATCAAACTGCTCTTAATTTCAAATAGTTGTTTGTAGAAATCGAGGAGCGTATCACCTTCGTACACCTTTGGCAAAAAATACTAATGTTTTAAAAAATCTCGGACGCCTTTTGGGAAGAGTGATACACCCCTTGGTATCTTGGTAGTAATGGAAACAATTACAGCAAATGTAGTCTTTACCTAAACGCCTAAACGATAGTTAACTATGCCTAAACCTAAACATTAAGTTATAGATGGTCAGTTTCGTAAACTTGAGCATAAGTAATACTAAAATGGCTTCTTGTAGGGACTATGACAGGGACATCTGATCAATCGGTGTCTTGTGAATAAGTGTGTTCATGAAAATGCCACAATTCCTTGCGTTTGTAAAAGGTGGCTACATATGCAGGGCTGTTTAGACTACCGCGGCTCTCCGCCGCTCGTTAAAAGCCCTGCTATTCATCTTCAATTTGTAATAGCAAAGCCGCTATAAACGAGACTTTCCGACGAGAGAAAATAGTAAATAGAAAATAGTAATCTTCTTACCTTCAAATGATCTCCCATGACTAAACATGGCCAGCAGAAATATGTATTCTTCTCTGAATCACCACATATCCAAGAAAAACCTCTATACACAGCTTCACACGAACGACTTTTAACTTTAACATCGGGGCATGGGCGTCCGTCTTTTTTAAGACGAAGGCGCTGTTCATGAGTTAATTTACCTCCTTGCATAGATATGAGGGAAAAGACAGTTGAAACACCCCATCGTACACCACCTGACGCTACTTGATTCATTTTGTATCTGAAAAGGTCTCTACTCTCTTCCCAACGTTTATCGAACTGACGATTTGTATGCGTGATCGCGTGTGAGCTCTTGCTATTCATTCCAAGAATTTAATAGCAAGGCTGTCAGATATGCGTATTTCACAATAGCCCGTTGCGTCACACCATAGCCACACTATGGCGCAACTCCTATTAGTTTCCTCCGTTTGCTATTCAGAAGGGCCAAGTAATAGCATGGCCATCGACGGCCACAGCGTGGATCAGAAAGGTATACACGCGGCATTCTTTGAATAGATTAAGTCGGGCAATCGCAATATCAAAAAGCACAGAGGGGTCAAATAAATCATGGAATGAAGGAACTGGATAAGGAAATCAAGATCCAGAAAAGATTTTACTCGTATAATTTATGTTACATTAATTTGTCTAATACAAAAGCAGAACATTTCTTTGGAAAAAAATTGCTATTAATGAAATAGCATAAATAGCACTGTCCGCCGCCTCTGAGAAGAGGTCAATAAGGATATCATCAATTTCTATCTAGCAGATATTGCCCCTCATGCTATACAGGGGATTCCTCCATCCATAACAACATGCATGTAGGAACTTCCCCAAATAGCATTTGACTCAAACATGCGTCACGATCATAGAATAGTTCATGATGTTTTGATGTCTCGTACAGGTTTTTTTGACGTCAAATGAATGTCAGTATACTCAAGACCCTCATACCGGAAAAGGAAATTAAGCGAATCTACAAGTAGGCTGTGTAATGTTTTGTTCAGCAAAAGGATGCTAGGACCCAGACCCTATATATATTGTTATGTTTTGGAGAGTTATAAAAAGTTACGTTCGAAGCACGCCGTAGTTTGAATCATCTACAATCTGCCTATTAGGCCACAGTAAACATAAATATAACATTGGCGACGAGGAAAAGTAATGTAACATTTACAGTGATCGGTAAATCATGGCTTCAGTTAGCATCGTTCCTAGCATGCCGCTGTTCGACCCAGATGCAGAGATTGGTGCTTCGGTAGGCCCGAGATGGAAAGTGTGGCTGCAAGATTTTAAAACATTTCTAGTGGCAAATGATATCACTGACAATAAACGTAAACAAGCTTTACTCCTCTATCAAGCTGGCTCAAGAGTGAGGGAAATATTTCGCCAATTATCTGATACAGGCGCTGCTGATGCATACCAAACTGCCGTAACCAAACTCACTGCCTACTTCGAGCCCCAAACGAACAGGCTTTATGAAGTGTACAAATTTAGGCAGGCCGTACAACAACCAAATGAGACGTTGGATCAATTTCACGTTCGACTTCGTCATTTGGCACAAACTTGTGAGTTTTCTGATTTTTCACTTGATTTTGAAATACAGCTCCAAATCGTAATCGGGGGCAAATCCACAAGTTTGCGTAAACAAGCTCTCAAAGATCCTAAATACACCCTTAAAGATATGTTACTGGACGGCCGCAGAGCGGAAATTAGTACTTTTCAAACGGCAGATATCGAGGGTAAACAGTCAAGGGACAATTTACAAGCTATCAAACAGAAAAAGAGTTTCAGTAAACAACAAACTTCAGCACGAAAATGTAGAAATTGTGGTGGCAATTACCCACACAAATCGAAGCCATGCCCTGCAAAAGGTCAAAACTGTCATCGCTGCGGGAAGCAAAATCACTTCGCTAAGTTCTGTCTGAGCAAACAAGACACCCGCCAGTCTTCATTTACCACGTCTAAATCGAAAATTCACCCGGTGTGCAAGTCAACAGATTCCGACAGCGAATCCAGCTCATCAAACTATTGTTATGCAATAGGGGGTTCAAGTCAAAAACCCTTAGAAACCCGGCTTAAAATCAAAGGACAACGCATCCCCTTCCTAGTGGACACTGGTGCGTCTATCAATATCATTGATAATGCAACTTTTAGTCAACTCAAGGGTATTTCATTACAACCCACAAACATAAAAGCCTATGCCTACAACTCGCAAACGCCCGTGAAAATGAAGGGCAAATTTGAATCATTGGTGGAAACAAAGAAACGTTATGCCGTCGCAAAGTTCTATGTCACGGAAGACAATGGAGGCTGTTTACTTAACGCATCAACGGCCCAAGACCTTGGCTTAATTAGCTTGCATTTAAACAAAGTTCACCCACCAACTGGAAATATACAAAATTAAGATCTGAATGATATCGTTAATCAATATCCAGATGTCTTCAAAGGCCTTGGTAAAATGAAAGGAAAACAAATTGACTTAGTAATCGATTCAAAAGTCAAACCAATCGCACAAAAGTGCAGGAGAATTCCCTTTCATCTTCGAAAGAAAGTCGAGAGCGAGATTTCCAAACTATTAGATCAGGACATAATCGAGCGCGTTCCGGAAAATGAACAAACTGATTGGGTTTCTCCAATTGTTTACGTACCAAAGAAAAATGGGGATATCAGAATATGCATTGATATGAGAGCTGCAAACACAGCAGTTAAAAGAGTTCGTCATCCTATGTGAAGTGAAGGATATTTCTATCGATCTCAATGGTGCTACAGTGTTTTCAAAACTTGACTTAGCGCAAGCTTACCACCAGCTTGAACTTAGTCCAAGTAGTCGTCAGATAACTACTTTTACAACTCATATTGGTTTATTTCGATGCAAAAGACTGAATTTTGGAACTTCAAGTGCGAGTGAAATTTTTCAGCACACATTACAGCTTGCCCTTCAAGGACTTAATGGCGTCAAAAACATCGCCGATGACATCATAATTTTTGGAAAAGATGTGAACGAACACAATGAAAACCTAAATGCATGTTTAAGACGATTGAAAGAACTTAACCTTACCTTGAACTTCGAAAAGTGTAAATTTTTAAAAGAGAATCTTGAATTTTCTGGATTTATCTTTTCTAAAGAAGGAAAGCGCCCTGACCCGAAGAAAATAGCAGTGTTTGTAAATGCAGCCACGCCCACTACTTCAACGGAGGTACGCAGTCTATTGGGTATGTCAAACTATTGCTCTCAATTTATACCCGATTATGCAACGATTACAGAGCCTTTACGCAATCTAACAAAGAAAAACACTCAGTTTAATTGGACAGAACGTTGTGAAGAGGCTTTCAACACATTAAAAGATCTTCTCACGTCGAGTCCTGTCGTCAGCTACTTTGACATCGAGAAGGAAACTACAGTTATTGTTGACGCGAGTCCAGTCAGACTATCAGCCATTTTGTGACAACGAAAGCCTGGAAGTGCGCAAGAAAACATTGTCGCTTTTGCAAGTAGATCATTATCTTCTGTCGAGCTACGCTACTCGCAAACAGAAAAGGAGGCACTCGCCATAGTATGGGGGATTGAACACTATCATTTATATCTATTTGGTTCAAAATTCACGTTAGTTACCGACCATAAACCGTTGGAAATCATCTATGCAAACCCTTGCTCCAAACCACCAGCGCATATCGAACGCTGGATGCTGCGCTTACAACAATACGACTGTGAAGTTGTGTATAAATCAGGGATTGGAAACCCTGCCGATTATCTCTCACGTCATCCAACTTCAGCTGAATACAAGAAGCAAAATATATCTGATGAATACGTCAATTTCGTCACCCAAGAAGCTGTTTTTCCTGCTCTTTCTTTGGGTGAAATCAAGGCTGCCACTGATAAAGATACAACATTGCGGTGTCTACGAGCAGCTATCAGGAGTAATTGTTGGAACGGTGATATCTTACAACCCTTTCGCGCAATAAAACATGAGATATCTGTTGATCTCACCAACAATATTCTGCTGAGGGGAACTAGAATCATTATACCTGAGTCACTTCAAAGACACGTCATCAAAATCGCCCATGAAGGACATCAAGGTACAGCTAAAACTTAGTTAATGAAGAGATAGCCGACTGTTTAGCATGCCAAGCTACAGGTGCTCCAAATGCACAAGAACCACTCAAGTCACCACCTTTGCCCGAAAGACCATGGCAAGAACTTAAAGTTGATTTTTATGGACCATTGCCAACAGGACAGTATCTGTTTGTTGTAATTGATACATATTCGCGATTTCCAGAGGTCGATATTGTTCCATCAACATCAGCAAGTGCAATCATTCCAAAGCTGGATGCTATTTTTGCACGTCATGGTATGCCTGATAAATTGAAGTCCGATAACGGCCCACCATTTTTCGGAAATGAATTTCACCGGTACATGAAAGCATTAGGTATACGTCAAACAACATCTACGCCTTTATGGCCACAAGGAAACTCTGAAGTGGAATCTTTCATGAAACCCCTTGGAAAGTCGATTTGCACCGCCATTCTTGAAAAACTACAATGGCAACAAGAGCTTCACAAATTCCTTCTGAATTACAGAATCACACCACATACCACAACGAAAGTTCCGCCAGCACAGTTATTATACAATCGACCTGTTAAAGGAAAGCTGCCCATGCTAAGCACAAGAACATAACATAAACACAAGAATGCACAAAAACATAAACAGACATCGTGAAGCGAGAGAATGATCAGCTGAAAAAGGAAAATGCGATGAACTATGCTAATAAACGCAGAAACACGAAAGAATGCGATATTAAAGTAGGTGACCTGGTTATCTGTATGCAAAAGAAAACGAACAAGTTCTCATCTAGATTTAACGTGCAACCTTACAAAGTCGTTCGTGTTCATGGATCAAAGATTGTTGCTAGACACGGAGATCATTCCATTTCCTGTAACTCTTCATTCTTCAAAAAGGTCCAACAAAGACTTGACGGTAACATTGCTGCTGCTGCTGATGATGATGATAATGTCGAATATCACAAAAGAGCCACAGAAGAAATTCCTGTTCGTCGATCTGCACGCAGTCGTATACAGACACAGTTTTATGGAGATCCAATAAACTCTCGATTAATACGTTGAAGGATTTTGTTTTAATTTTTTTATTAAGAAAAGAGTAAATGTAATGTTTTGTTCAGCGAAAGGACGCTAGGACCCAGACCCTATATATATTGTTATGTTTTGGAGAGTTATAAAAAGTTACGTTCGAAGCACGCCGTAGTTTGAATCATCTACAATCTGCCTATTAGAACACAGTAAACATAAATATAACAGGCTGGATACTCATGGCAAAGAAATAAAGGAGCAAATTGCTAAAGCCATATGCATACCCTTAAGTGAGCTATCAGAAAGACAAAAATATCAGAATCAATTGGAAGAGCAGGAAGAGAAGGCTAAAGATCTTGACAAACTTTTGGAACTTATGAAAGACAAAATGAAAGTTTAGACCAAAAGTGAAAAAATTCAGAGTTTAAATGTACATGTTCAAAAGCGTTTACCCCTGTGTGACTTGAAATAATTTTATGCATCATTCAAGATTTCCAACCCTCATGTAAAGTTGGCTTTTCAAAGTTTTAGCTAAGATCAAAATGATGTATCTCAGTTGGATGTTCTGGAAGTCACTCTGTGTGTGTATGAACTATTCACCAGAATGCTATCTTGATGCTTAATGCAATCAAAATTGAAAAAAATAGGAATGAACTGATTGAAATGTTGGTCTGCAGTTTGGATTCCAAAGAATGCATAATCCAAAGATGCGAAAACTGTCCTTCTGAACACATACTGAAAGAGTTCTTGCAAAAGGAAATACTTGAGGATCCTGATGAGCTTGGTGATGGTTGCTACCTGGAAATCAAGTACCAGCAGTGTACAACTTTAGACAGGTCACAACTTATAAGCCAATGCTTACCAGCCACCGACTTCATTTCTTTACTGGTCAAGAAATTAAATGATCTAACAGGACACTCATACATTGTAAAAGCACAAGCTGCTTACCTCAGGCAAAGAAAGGATGAGCTGATAGATAATGAGGCAATTGTACTTTTTGATTTTGCAGAAAACTATAAGTTTGTTGTGCAGGGTGAAAAGCAAGGATTCCAATGGAATCAACAGTCATGCACACTTCATCCTGTTGCAGTTTATTATAAGTCAGGAGGAGAGACCATTCAGCAATCTCTTTGCTTCATCTCAGATGATTCCTGCCATGACACAGTCTTCGTTTACAAAGTAGTAAAGGATACAATATCATTTACGAAAAAGAACCTGGTATGCAATCTAGAGCATGTCTTATACTTCAGTGATGGATGTGCTGCCCAGTACTGCAAAAACTTTCTGAACATTTCACGGCACAAAGAAGATTTGATGTTTCATGTACCTGGTCTTTTTTTGCAACATCACATGGAAAATTCCCCTGCGATGGTATGGGAGGCACCCTCAAGAGGCTTGTGTCTAGTGCCAGACTACAAAGACCCTTTCAAAATCAAATACTCAGTTCAAGGGATCTTTTTTAATGCTATCAGAGAGAGATTCAAGGGATTGAAGTATTTTTCATTTCATGTCATGAAATAGGGAATGTTCGCCATACTCTTGAAAGTAGGTTCTGAAGTGCTATCGTGATCCCAGGAACAAGATCTTTCCATCATTTTCAACCACTAAAAGGAACCATCATAGAAATGAAAGAATCTCAACAGACACTAATTTTGACCTTCTTTTTTATGTCAGACTTGGTAGGATCAAGGAGGAACAAGAGGAAATAAAAAATTCAGATTCTGTATCGTGCAGATATGATGAGAATTGCTGGATTGGTATTGTTTGTGACATTGAAAAGGAACATGGAGATTTTGACATTAAATTCATGCATCTATCATACTCATCTAGATCATATAACTGCCCATTACAATAAGAGGGGTGTCCTGTCAAGTCATATTATTGCACCACTGAATCCGCCAGTTACTGTTACTGGAGGACAGTACAATTTGAAAGATGAGGATATCAAGCTAATTGAAGATAAACTTAGACAAAAAACAGTTTGATAAGAACAGAAATTTAAGAATTTTCCTGGATTTACTTGCTTATCATGTGATAGTTATGCGACAAAACTGATATTTCTGGTATTTTGCGATAATGAAAATTCAAAAGCATTAAACTCTTGTTCTCTGTTTCTAGGCAAGACACCAACATCTCAACACTTTTCTATTAAATAGCTTTTTATGCTGTATAAGTATGCCAAATATCAAGTTGGTGCTACCTAATAGACAAAAGATATTCAAAGTTATCAACTGTTACTTTTTACTAAGTGACGTCATCAATTGTTTTTTATTGTTCCAAATAAGGTGTCATATCTTTTTCCAGGTTAATTTTGAGGGAAAACTAATGACAAATTTGGATTCTCCATAGCTGAAATAACTATAATACAAGATCTTATCATAAAAATGTTTGTTAAAAAATAGCTATTGAAGGATCAAGTTTTAGAGGATGACCAGCCAGCAGGTGTTTTTTCAGCAATAGAAACACCAACGCTCTTTGCCTTGGAGGTTGAACCAGACCTTGTGGAATGTGAAAAAATTTGTTGAACATCAATAACATCCAATCCCAGCGTAGCTTTAACCCAATTGTAACAGTGCAAACTGGATCATGAGGCTGTTTGTAACTAATGATCAGTTTTTCAAATGGTCCTCGAAATGAAAACGAACAAGGAAGATAATGTTTTAAATTTGCCACAGGGCATATAAACTCACACATAAGATAAATTCTCAGGTCAAAAGGGGACTGATGAAATTTTGGTCTTGTTGATTTCAAGCAATGTTGTATGATCAGGTAATGAACATACAACTCTATCTTGCTCAAAATGTATATATCTAACATCAATGGAAGATAATGTTTGATTTCTTTGATCTGATAATAGACACAATAATGTTACAATACAATATGAGAGCAGTTGAAATGATAAAGACTCAGAATTTCCCAGTGATTTTAAATACCGTAATACATAATGAACATCAAAAGTTTGTATCTATTTTGGTATTGCAGGTTTCAAATTGAATATGCCTCTCATAAATCTCCTAACTAAAGGATGAGAACCAAAGGCAACACTATCTGAATAACTCAACATGTTAGACAATGTAGATATAGCTGTATTTACTCAAAATAACCAATATTTCTGTCATGAAACAACTTGCAAGAAAACTTTTTTCCATGACTTACCGAACAACTGGTTGGTGAAATGATATTAGGCAAACAGTAATGGAACCAGGATTCGATATATGTAGAATATTGTTTAATGTACCTAACCTCCAAGATTCTTGAATAATATTTAATGCTTCATGGGAATACCTGATGTGTGTGTCTCCGTCCAGACACTATACCAGCCTTCAATCTTAGAGTTTTGTGAAGAGGATGTATCAATTGTTGATTTGGTAGCAGGAGCAGTTGTTTGCTAGATGGAATAATGACAGGTTGTACTATTAACAATCTGATAAATTGTGTATACCAACAACTTTGTGGCCAGTCTGGCACAATCACTAAACCATATGCTTCATCTTTTTCGATCTTTAAGTACTTTTGGAATCACAGAAAAAGGAGGAAAAGGCATAAAAAGTAATTTTATGCCAATCAAAAGTAAATGAATCCACAACAGAAGCTTCTGGGTCCGGTCAGAATGAGCAAAATGGTTTGAACTGACAATTGAAACGAGATGCAAATAGATCCATATCAAAGTGCATGTTGAAATATGATTTAGCAAATTTAAAAATACTAGGATTCAATTTTCCATTCTATAGACTGTTGATGTAATCTAGATTGCGAATCTGCTTCATTGTTTTCTTTCCCTGGTATAATGGCGGCAGTGAGCCAATTTTTATTAACGGTCAAGCTCTGGAACTCCTTGCCACCAATTGAACTTAAGAATACTCGAAAGAAAAATTATAATTAACAATATAATAATAATATACTTAACAATATTATAATTAACATTTGTTCTTGCTAATAAACGATTTTGAGTTCGAATTTCTTCCGACAAAGCAACTGGTCTTCTAATTGTTACTAACTGGTCTTCTAATATAGGCCCTGGTATTCTCTGTACAACAGAATGTTGATTTCTGAATGCATTATTATTCCTTCCAGCAAAGCCTCTAATGTTACTGCCAAACCGTCCACAAGCTGTGCATCCACTACGCAAGAATCTGCAACTGCTAGCTGGCATAATATCTGAAACCAATGATTACCAATAGGTATATCATTTGAAGCCAAGTATATATAATTGATTCATCTTGATCATCTGGTACTTCAAAACAATATTCTGTCTACTTAAACAGATGGTTTGTTTATTGTCAGAAAGTTGACACATTTCCGATACATTATTATATTAATTTTGGCACGTTTAAGTTGACACGTTTCAATCATGGAATTAATTTCCTAACAGAACTGCTTAACAAACATAATTTGGGCTACTCTGCTATGAAACTGCTCGTTCAGCATTATCCAATATTATGACACCAGATTCAAGTTCGTCATTTGGTAACAATCCATTCGTTAATAGATTACTGTGAGGGATGTTTAACATATGGCCGAGTATTCCTAAGCATATAAACACTTACGATGTTGATGTTGTGTTACAGTATCTGAAGGGCCTAGGTGACGCAGATTTTATTACATTTAAAATGCTTACCTCTCGTCTTGTAAAATTGTTTCTTCTTCTATCAGGACAGAGAGACCAAACATTTGTTGCTATTGACATCAGACTTCTGGATGTTTCTGATGACAGAATTATTGGTTATATTGATCAAGCCCTCAAAACAACTAGACCTGGCTTTCATCAGTCGCCTCTTGATTTCTGCGTATTCCCTGATAGCAAGGCTATTTGTCCTGTATTTTATAAACAGCAGTAATTGTTTGAATCATTCTCTACGTGGCCCGAGAGTGAAATTATTTGTTAGTTACACATTACCTCATCAATCGGTTTGCACCTCGACCATTTCACGTTGGGTGAAAAAACCATGTTGCAATTGGTAGGAATTGGTATTAATGTATTTACCTCTCACTCTACTAGACCTGCATCAACATCCAAGGCACAAAGCATTCGCCTGTCGCTAACACCCATAAACAAAGCTGCAGGATGGTTGAAATCCAGTACTTTTCGATGTTTTTATAATAAGACAGTTCATGATAGTAACTTTGGCAGTAGCATTTCAGCCATTTTTTATTGTTAATATTGATTTTTAATGTGCGAACAAACGATCATTTCTAGGTTCAAGTCTACTTGATCAACCCATTGTGAGTCTCTTTGAAGTCTTGTATAAATAGCGAAAGGATTTTGGGTTCTAGCTATGGAAAATTATCAAGAAATTAAACAAACCTTGGTGTCTTTTGATGTAGATTATTTTCCATACTTAGAAGCAAACGACGTTAGATTTATCCGCCACCTTACCCAAATAATTATGTTTTTCCCTTTCTCTAGTGTTCAATTTCAGGACTGGCAGGCTCCACTGGTATGTCTTTGAATCAGGTGAAATGCCACGTGTTGCTCATATAAATTGCATGTCGTATGGCTGTAGGTATGGAAAATAATCTACATCAAACTACACCAAGGTCTGTTTAATTTTTTAATTTTGCTTCAGTTGCAGCTACAGATAAAGAAAAACCTCAAAAGATCAGTGAAAAGTTTAAAGTGCATATGAAACCAAATTTTCAAAATTAAGCTTAAATCATTGAAAAAAACCTTTGGTACCTATTTTGTAGCATTTTGCCAGTTGCAAATGCAATAAATTTACGGTTAAACTAAAGCACCTGGAAGGAAAGTTTTGTATGACGTGATAAATAGTGCTTAGCTGACCAAGTGTGTAAACATTTGGGCAAAATTCGAGGCGCCGGTCGGTCTCCAACTTTTTGTTGACAAATGTTAAATGTCATCTGATAAATCCTATCTGAGCTTTGGCGAGGAAAAATCAGTTTTGAATGAAGAAATTGACAGTGTTGATGACTATGATATTGAGAATTTACGTGCAAATGCGCCTTATGAAGATGAACCTCTTGCTGTTCTGGGGCGCCCACAGGCCGGTTTTACTAAACTATGGAATCACCCAAAACGAGCCAAAACGACCCATAACCAGCCAAAACCAGCCATAACGACCCAGAATTACAACAGAACGACCCAAAACAACCCAAAACGTTGCAAATAGCATCGAGCAGAACGACCGTTTTTCGCGCTTTTTTTGACCTGTGCACGTTGGCTGAGAGTGGCAAACCAAGAAAATGGAGGCGACGCTGTCCGCTCTTTTAGATGCAGAGCAGGTAATTTAATATGTTTTCCTTTACATGTTTCTCTTCTTTTCATTCCCAGTTTTACCTATTCTTTGCCTGCTTCTTTTTGCGTGATGGTCAGAAATCAACAACGGCATTGTCCGTATTCTGTCCGTATAAGCCATTCTAATAATGATCGAGTACATTCTCATCGCCATTATAACCTATTAAGTATGATAGTTGCCCATCTCAGAAGTAATTTAGATTTTTCTATGTTCTATGGTGATTTTTGCAGCCTGTTATCATGACAGGGTCGGGCTGGAAATCGAGAAAAAGGCCGAAGGCACACTTGGCTCGCTAATTTTCGAAAATTTTCCCACCTCCAAATTTATTAAAAGCTCTCCCCCCTTAATAAATTTTTCCCTTTTTTAATCTGAACAAGATTTTTTCTTGCTGAGAATATCCCGGTCATAGGTAGCCAGGTATTATAATTATCTGTCACTAGTTAAAAAGTCCATGTAAATATTGACTGTAAATGACAGAGCATCTGTAGTAAACAGGCACACATTATTTATTTCATATTGTAAGAAACTCAACCTCCCAGGGGCCATTCCAGTGAAAAAGGGGGCATTTGCATAATCTCATATATGCGAGCCATGCCCATTGTTACACCCATAGGCCACATCCAAAAAAATTTCAACATTTTGAATAAATTTCATTGGCTTGTCTGATTTATCATTGAAATAGCAAAGAACACAGAATTATTAAGGCAAAAACACTTGAACTATTCATAATACACTATATCATAAATGAAATCACTTTTGCTAAAAGCAGTAAAATCAAACAGTTTTATAGGAAGCTTGCAGTAACTACGAAAAGGTTTTCAAAAATTAATGAGAATATAGATGATTTTGAAGCAACAATTTTCTATCAGTTGGCAAGTTCATGTGCTGACAATTTTTTTCTCTTTTTATATTTGGCTTCCAATGGGGTGTCACTAGAAATTTTTTAGGGGTCAGCTGCCCCTCCATGACCCCCACTAGCACCATCCCTGAAAGGATGTCAAATTTATGTGAATAACGCCCCAATTTTATTCTTTCAGTTTCGCTTGCTACCATTTGGCTCACTGAAAGGTTTCATAACAGAGGAAATTGATCAATTTCTTGATGTGAAACATCTTAAAGATTTTTTCATTGTGGACAATTATAAAGATCAGTGTACGTTAATTGAAGCTGCAAACAGTTGTAGCATAACTGTACCAGAAATCATAACTTATGATTTCAAGAGCCCTTTGATAGAGGAAGCTCAACATGTTCCTGGCCATGAGTTGTTACCCGTTCCTGTAATGAATGTGCTCATGGATTATAGCAAGAAAGTAATTGTAAGTAAAAGTGGTACTTTTGGTGACAAGGTTCAAGGATTTTCAGCCTGGAAGTGAGGAGCTTTGTTCTTTGATCTTAAAGGGCCTCTCCAGCCAAAAAAAAAATTTTTTTTATTGACTAAAAGTTAGCATCTGGTGCGTGTATTATGGCAAAGTCGTTTGCAAAATTCCAATTAGTTTAGAAGTTATAAGGCTTTAAAGTTGCACCTTTTCAAGAAAAAAACGACAAAAGCCGAATCAGTTGGCATGTTTTGTTTGTTTGTTTGTTTGTTTGTTTGTCTTATTTGTTAACCCAGCCTGGGTCAGGCCTTTTTGTTTGATGCAACTGATCACGCGCGTTCGCGGCAGCACTTGGGAAAACCCAACCACGCGAGCGTTTGATCATTCGCACAAAACGGTAAATTGTGAGGAATAAATGTCTCATCAATGAACACAATTCTAGTCAACTTGTGTGAACCAAGCAAGTGACATAGACAATAAAAAGCCAGTATATAAAAACACAGGAAATATAAGTAAGCTGACTTAACCACATCTCAATGAAAAATGCGTTTGAAGTAAGGCTTTTTTAAAAAGGTATGGTACAGCATTTTGGGATCATCTGGCAATAATGTCTTTTTTGACCTTCATGATGTACATAAAGTTTATAGATGAAGCACACTTATAAAGGGGATTTAGTCTTACTTGGAGTGCATTACAGATAATCGTAACAGTTCTTTTCCATTAGATGTTACCTCAAACAAAAGGGTACCTTATAACAGTCCTGAACAATTTTTCACTATTAGAGCGATCGCTTGCACAAGAGAAATCATGCGAGCGATGGGCCACTCGCAGGGGCTATTTCTTACGAAAAGGCCTGCTGGGTTTCTGGCAGCTATGAGCTAATGTGGGCCTGGGGCACTGGGGCCTTTGTCCTTAGGTTTTCTCTTGAGTACACATTAGGTGACTTGCTGGCTAGACAGGTGTGTTGGCAGAACAGCTTGTGGAAAAAGGTTCCAACCTAATTCATTAGAGTTGAAGCACTAAGCTTTAGCCTCTTGGCCACTCCACTATCAATTTGCCATTATTTATGTGCTATATTCATTGCATTATCTTTTTAGATCTTTTCTATTTGTCTCAATTATGCATAACATGTTAACAAATAATTTTTTTCTGATTTCCTAGATTTGCTCCCTTTACTCAAACAACTTAACACTGCAACCAAGAGAAACTGCAGAATGCAATCAACTTCTGCTAAATGATGACTTCCCTCCTAATTTAGAATTGGTAAGCAGCCTGCATGCAAGGATGTACTTAATTATGTATTCCTTTGTGCAATTTTGTAAGAAATTGATTGTTTAACAAAATGCATGGTCTCGAACCTTGCCTTTTCCCTTAGAATTGAAGTCCTTTGCCCTATGGTAATGACTTTGACTCTAAACCCCATTTGATTTCAAATGATGTTTTTGGCTCATTTCTTAATGACGTTTCAAAAAACAAGAAGAACCAATTAAAAACTGTTTTGGACATTTAATCAATCAGAATAAATCAAAGCAATTTACTTTTATATGCAAAAAACTCTCCATATACAGGCATCAGTTTTGATCTCCACCATTTGACACTGTGGATAATACAGTCTCTGTGCTATGTAGTTATAACACCACTAGAATTTTCTTCATGTTTCAGGATTCAGTGCATTATGATGTAGAGGAGCAAATGACAGAGAAGATACAGAAAACCAAAAGTCCTGATGTAAGCAGATATCTAGAGATGTATTTTCAACTCAAAATTTGTCTTCTTCAATTTTTTATTTCGTCATGATTAATGTTATCAGATGATCTCATTTGGTCTCACAGTTTCAGATTCCAATGAGATTTCTAATTTTCTATATGAATAGTGGTTTCATATATCTTTTTCATATTTTAACAGAAGCATAAATTTGTTTAAATTTTAACAGCAGGAAAGAAAGCATTATCAAGTTCAAGTCCTTTCTGTCCAATTCAATTTTCCAGCAATCATATAAACCACATTTTTTTCTCTTATTTTCAGATATCTCGCCAAACCAAACTTTCTGCCAATGACATATTTGAAAGGATATTAGGCTCAACACCAGACAAAAATCTCTTCTTCACTGTAGATGGTGCTCCACCAAAAGGTACTTTTCACAACTTCATTAATCATGTAAACTTTTCATAGGCCCTAGCACTGGCCCTTCATCAGCCGATAGCTGCCAGAAACCCCAGCCTGGGTTGACAAATAAAATTGTCTGCTTGCTCAGTAAACTTCTATCAGCTGAGCTGTAGTGGCAAAAACACCACCTTGTTTATATTGGCAGTATCTTGGTAATATATAAGTTCGCTTAAACATGCGTTTCAGCCAATTTGTTGTATGAGAGAAATTATCTCTGATTTAATCTATCAGGTTCAGTTGAAGCTAAGGTATACTTGGTTGACAATGAAAAGTAAAGCTTTGACCAAATCATGGCAGATGACAATGGTGTGTTCAAATACGAAGGGTCACCATCAAAGAGCTTTCTCTACGACAATTTGCAGCATACAACCACCACTGCACATCTTAAAGATGGAAAATGGTTTGTAAAGCGAAGGTCAGGAAGAAAATATTTTGATGTAAGAAGTAAACCCATCTGAAGTTTTCATTTTGACAAGAACATACAGAAGACATATGGTCGAAAAAGACTTCTGCAACACAATTTGCAGATTAAAGAATGCAGCTAGTGGCAAGTACCAAAAGTACTGCCTTGTAATAAATGAATGGACAGGGCACAAAAAAACAGTCTAACAATGAAATGTCATGGTAATGCAAAAACAGATAATGCAAAAGCCACACCATACATGAGGACAGAAAAAAGCGTGTTGAAAGAAATGAAAGTAGGCATTGAGAATGGTGGCCAAGTGCAATCCGTCTACCACAATGCTATTGAATCCTCTGGTGGTCCCTTAAAATGTACATCACAGTCAAAGCAGCCAAAAAATCCAAAGCAGGTGAAGTATCTACCACACTCTGTGAGCCCAAGGGGCATTAGGTTTACTTATTTGCATAGGATGTGAAAGGGTTCTGTTCTCACTACTTTTTGAGTAGGTTTGTGCTGTGGTTTGCAAAATGAATCCTAGTGCCTCTGAGCTATAAAACCTTGCAAGTTTTTAGTAACCCAAGGTGCACAATTCATTGTCCATGTCAGCATATTTATGGGCCAGTCAAGGGGGATTCAGGGGGACTCTACATGTTGGTCTTCAGCAAAACCTATAAGAGCCTTAGGTTGAATACTTTTGCTACATCTTTGTTGCTAGTTTATGGTGCACAAAGTTAATTTACATAAACATTAAAACTAGTTTTAACAAATATTTTGGTGTTATTGAAATGTTGACTATCCAAAGATTTTTTTAAATTTTTGAAGAAAAACATTTACACACAGCTTTTTGTCCAAAGTTGTTATTTCAAAACTTTTCAGTCTGAAAGTTTTAATTTAAATTATTTCATTTTTTTGGCTATCCTGTGTTGTGCCATTGAGGCCCACCTCCAGTCCCGTGTCCATAACAGTCTACACTATGAAATGTGCAAAAAACAATGAGGCCAATGACACGATGCCAAAGATGCAAAAATTCAAGAATGCTTCTTAAACCTGTCTTTCATTTAACCACAATACATCAATCACCATCAGAAACCATCAACAAGTGCTTTCAGTATATTTGCATATGACTCACTGATGCTGTAATACAATCAACTTCTTATGAAAATACCACCTGTTTTAATGGAAACCAGGATGATCTCATGTCGTTTTCAGTTTAATTCTTTCCTCTCCCTGTTTCCAGGTGTATAATTTACAACCAAGGTCAAAAGAAACAACTGAGAATCTTGATGTATCCCAAGACGAAATTCTGCGTGTTGTTGAAGTTATGAAACGAGAGGGTGCCAACACTTTGATTAGGAATGTTATCCTTACGCCAGACGAGTACTGCATTACAGCATTTGACAAGCAGCAGCTTAACCACATTGTCAAGTTTTGTGTTGATGCCAACAAGATTCTGGGGATGGACACAACATTCAACATTTGTGACATGTGGGTAACCGACACTGTCTTCCAGAATCTACGATTGATGAATGATAAAGGTGAACATCCATGGTTCTATGGTCCAGTGCTGCTGCACATGAAAAAATCCAAAGACACCTTTTCAAGATTTGCCATTGATTTAGTGGTTGGAAATTCCAGCATCCGAGACCTTCCCTTTTTAGGAACTGATATGGAAAAAGCAATGTATCAAGGTTTCAAGGGTGTTATGCCAAATCTGAAGAATCTGCTCTGTGTGAAGCATATGGCAGTTCGTGATCAGAATTAATATGCGTGCTAATATAATACTTTATTAGCCTATCCAACTGTACCTCAAATTTTGCTGTATCAATGTTGCACCATTTCATTCTAGATATTTTTAATGAATTAGTTCAACTAAAATGGAGAGTCTGTTAAAAGTAGAAAAGTGAGTCAAAACACACAAAAACCTTACCAGTGAACCATACAATGTGCTTCATCAACTATCACCACCTCGCATCGAGCTCTAAAGATATCTGACGATAATATTGATCGCCACCGGTCACTAGCAAGCATACTTTCCGGCGATGTGTACACAAGAGAGTATCCATTATTTTCAATACCCTCAAATATCATTAGATTGTCCATCGAATATTGCAGCATCAACAATCGCGGTCTCCGTCAATTTCTCCACTTGATCAAGCATTAACGCCTTTAAAGGTGAGATTACAAGAACTGTACTTGTTCCAATGACATGCTCATTCATCAAGTCGAGCAATGGCGGGATACATTGGAATATCAGTGATTTGCTAGAACCTGTTGGTGCGCTGAAATATAAATCCTTCCCTGAGAAGAAAGCCCTTAATGCTGCCTTTTGGTCAGAGCAAAGTTCTCCGACATTGAATAACTGAGCAGCAACTTCAAATGTTTCTTCTATTAAATCGCAATCGTAAGGCCACGTCTGTTCAGCCATCTTGAATTCTAAAATATTCCCACTGAACATTCTTCCTGCATAATTATGCGAACAATTCAATTCAATCCCTGTACGCGATTTCACTTTCAGTTACACAGACCCTCTTTTTTCAAGTTAGGGTTCTGGAACACAGGCTAAACTAGGCTTTTTGAAACTTTTGGGAGACTGGGGGGGGGGCACGAAGTTCCCCTCCTCTGTAATTTCTTTTTCCCTATAGCTGGACGATGAACTTTGTTTGGATGGTACTCTTATCTATTCTCCACATTTTAGCACTATTGTTCAATTTCTAAGTCACATGGTTTTACGATGACATCATCATAATGATGGCCGGGTGGAGCAAAAATTTAGAAAATTTGAGAAAATCCTAAAATATTCATAAATTCCAAAGCATCCGACTAAGATTTTAAAATAAGCAAATTAATGTATTTTCTAATAGAAACAAGAAGAATGACACAATTTTAATGTTATTTCTCAAAATTATTAACGTTCCAACACAAGCACTCAACATATTTTGTATTTCGCTATATTTCTTTCTATATAACTAAATGATCGATACAACCAAATGTCACGTTTAAGTTAATTTTTAATGCCTTAGCAGATAAATTAATCTAAACTGCCTTGGATCATACCATCAACTTGCAGTTTTATTAATGTACTACCTATAAATATGTCAACAAACGTTGTTGAATCAATATTTTCTGGTCAGAATCCTGAAAAGAGCACAAATTAATGCCTAAACACTAATTTTCCTCAATATATCTACTTTTGTTGCGAATCCGTGGCAGATTAAACTTTTTTTACTTTTTTAGATTAAACTTTTTAGTTTTGAAAATGCCCCTGCAGAACCCCCTGATTGCCAAAAAAAATATCTTTTTATATGAACATGTGTCAGACAGGTTAAAACTAAAAGTCAGGAGGTCTGAGGGGTATTGCATTGAAACTCCTGAAGTTATGAAAGAAAAACCACCTATAGTGAGGGAAAAAGCCATAACAATCGTGCATTTAGTGAAGAAAGCATGAAAATTGGCATACCTATAGATTTTGACATGCTGAAAACGATGAGATCGGGATCCCACCTGTAAATTACCCCAAAAAGCTATTTTTAGATGATGATACTCGGACCCAGTCCTCCTCAACTAATTCTACCAATTTTACACCACATTTCCATATTAAAAGCATACAGAGTTGTATAAGTGTATAATCAGGCATGAAAATGCAATAATTTTGTTATTTCAAAATGAATTGCCCCCATATTCTATTTTTAGATGGGGTTCTTGGTCCCAGACCTCCAGGAAAGGTGCTGATCATTTTTCTGTAGTACCCGGGAGAGAAATACTAAAATTACTAATATCACAGAGATTAAGATCCTCATAACGATGAAAGCAATTTCTCAACTTTCATATTAGGCCCGCAGTCTATTTTTAGAAAGAGGTACTTGGACCCAGACCTCTACAAAATTTTCAAAAACAATGCGTCAAGTCATAAAAGTTAATTGAGAGGGGAATTCATTCAAATCATTAAATTGTACCAAAAAGCTTTTTCAGAATGGGGTAGAGCAGTTTTTCTATCAATCTATCTTTATGTATGCAATGGATGGACAATTTCGATTTTCGCGATACAGAAGCTGAATACATAGTTAACAGCTGAAAGCAATCTGTAAGCGTTGCAGCTTTTGAATTTCCAGAAATGTGTTATAATTACTGATCTGATCAGTTGCGTTTATGCATGTAGAAGATCCTTTGTCTTAAGAACGCGCAAGCAGGCTACCCTTGAAGTGAGATACCTGGTAAAAAGAAAAGCCTGATCTTATCAAGATACAGGGGCACGTGGCATGGTATGAGTAGGGGATATTTTGACATGACTGTAAGCAGAAAGTAGCCAGAACGGTTCCAAAAAGTGTCATGTCCGGAAAGAGGTTTGAGCTCTTGGACGTACCCGATCACTTTGATAGATGTCAGACTGATAGAGAAATAGACTGAAATCTCTGTTTTCTGTGTCAAGGAGTCGATCAAACTGCGCTCGTGTGTCCAGCGAATGTTACTAGAGCTGATGCTAGTCAAGGATATCTTGCTGTAATAGAAAACCTTAGACGTTTTGAGGAGATAGGACAGCTACCGTCATCTCTGAAGCGAAGGTTCCAAAATCCGAATCTTTGAGATAATTTTGTTCAATACCAAGCAAAGTTTCATAAAAGTTGTAGAAATCGTTACGACAATTATCATTACAACAGGGTATGTAGAAAAAGGCGCGTTGATGAAAGCAGCCAGGAACAAAGTTCCACTGTGACTTTAAAAACACGATCTCAGTATACTGCAGATAATTTTCAACCAACGTGCATATTATGTGATGAGCATGATTCCGACAAAAACTTGCACCATGCGCGCACACTTGGCTTGGATAAACGAATTCGCGATGCGGCCATTCTGTTATCGGACGACAAGCTTCTTGCTAGACTCAGTGAAGGTGACTTGGTCGCAATTGAGGCTCGTTACCACAAGAACTGTTTGACCATTCTAGGAAATAGAGTATGAGCCATAAAATCTTCTAAACCTGCAGCAGATGTTGAGTACGAAATTATTTACGGAGTTGTTTTAGCGGAAATAGTCTCCTACATACAAGAATGCTGCAGTGTTGAAGAAACAATCCCAGTTTTCAAACTAAGTGCTTTGAAAACTCTTTTTTGCAAGCGCCTTGTCGAATATGGTGCATCTGAAGAATATAAGAGCAAGATTCACAGCACTCGCCTCAAGGAGAAAATTATTGAGCTACTTCCAGAACTGAGTGAGCATAAGAAAGGAAGAGAAATACTCTTGACTTTGAAGGAAGAGACGGGATCAGCAATATTCGATTCGTGCTCGTTTAGCGGAGAGGATGATGGTAGATGCCTTGCGAGAGCAGCCAAAATAATTAGAAAACAAATGTTTGCGATAAGGAAGAACCAAAACATGAAGCATCAGTTCCGGCCTCACTTTATAGCTTAGTAAGAATGATCCTGGGTGTTTCAGTGATTGGAGGGGAGCCTTGTAAATTGAGCAACAGTAGAGCTGCGACATCTATCTCTCAGTTGATTCGGTTTAATACAATCAGAAAAGAAAAGAAGCATAATGACATTGTTGAAAAAATACGGCACATGAAAGCTGACGAAACACCATTTCCTCTCTATATTGGATTGATGATACACAGCAAAACGCGAAAAAAAGGCTTGGTAGTAAACCTTGCAAAGCATGGAATAAGCGTCCCGTAAAATCGCGTGCAAAATTTCGAACTAGCGATTACAAAACAGTTGTGTAAAATTTACAGAGAAAATGGCGTAGTTTGCCCGCCAAGTACCCAGAATTGTATGTTCACGTCTGCAGCGATCGACAACATTGACCACAATCCATCTTCATCTACAGCATTGAGTGCTTTCCATGGTACAAGTATCTCAATTTTCCAACATCCGAAAATCATGAGAGGGCAGACACAACTGCAATTGGAGAATGATATCGAGAATAGCAGTGTTCCCTTAGAGCTGCCAAGCTACTATACTGAAATATGCCCAACAAAATCGAAAATACCGGAATATCCACTACAGAGAACAAACACTGAAGATTATAGCAATAACGCGCAAAAATTACTTGAAGATAATGGCTGGTTGCAAAATTTGCACTGCTGGGAGAGTTCAGAGGTAGAAATTCCTTTGTTCGAAAGAGTTTCTTGGTCGGCATACAATGCAAAGAAGCTGGAACGAAACAAAGCACTTCCGACAACACTTTCAACGCTCTTGCCACTTCTGAAAGAGTCTATCACGTCGACGGCCACAGTTGCCCATACAATGAAGATAGTTAAGCTCATATTACAGCATGTGAATCCTGGACAGATTCCCGTAATGACAGCGGATCAGCCAGTATATGCGATTTCAAAGCAAGTGCAATGGCTCTACCCCGAGCTTTATGGTGAGGGTAAGCTATTTATGATGATGGGTGCCTTGCATATCGAAATGTGCCTTCTCTCAACCATTGGTGATTGGCTTGATGGGAGCGGTTGGGTTGAACTTTTAGTAAAATCCAACATCAGCACGCCAGGAAGAATCGAAAGTATGATTCAAGGCAAGCAAGTTAAGCGTTGCCGTTACGTTCACCAAGTGACATGTGCTGCACTCTAACTCCAACTTGGCGATGTCTACAAATGCTCAGGTTCATCATTAACACTGCAAGATTGGATCGAGAGCAAGCGGGCAAAATCACCACAGTTTCACTACTGGGCCACAGTTATTGAATTGGAAGTGTTACTTTTAAATTTAGTCCAGAGTCTATGTGAATCAAACTTTTCCATGTTTGTACAGACTCTTGAAGAAATTGTGCCATGGGTATTTGCACTAGATCACACTAACTATGCACGGTGGCTTCCTATCTTTATTCAAGACCTAAAGATGCTTTCCTCTAGACATCCTTCAATTCACAAAGAATTTATGGAAGGGAACTTTACAGTAAGAAAGACAAGAAAGGCCTTTTCAACTATTGCTGAAGATCAAGCTCATGAGCAGAATAACAAAGTTATAAAAATTGACGGTGGAGCGATCAGCATTCTTGACAACGAAACCGCTCTACTGAAATGGATGGTTGGGGGACCGGAAATTGCCCGGTTAGTTAACGAATTCAAGCATTACGACGAACAGAGTGAGGATGAAGACAAAACTCCAAAGGAAGAGTTGCCACATCATGAAGACTCAAATTCTTTTGAAAAGCGTTTTCGAAAAGATGTTGCATCGCTCAAAGCAACGTTGTCAGAGATAGGGAATCCATTCGATGAAGGTGATATTCTATTTCAAATAATGACAAAAAATGTCATGGCTGATCCTTCAATCTAGTCAGTACAAAACGCTAAAAAGATCGGAGAGGCACAGTATCAAGCTTACGTCACAGAGAGACTGCTGACTTGCAAGAAATCAATCTACGAAGTTATACCGAAAAACAAACTCTCTCTATTTCGCAACAAGAATGCAGTGAAATTCTCAAAAGGTAAATTGAAGGTGGTTTCTCTTCAGCAGGACCGAAAGCTCTATGCATCACTCTATGTTGCTTGTCAATCAAGGAACGGTGATCTGGCTGACTTCTTTGCTCACGAGAATCATGCTTATCCACCAGCAATATCTGAATATGGGAAGCTACGTAAAGGCAATAAAGCTGATTTCCTTGCATGTTTAGAAAGACACGAATCATCAGACGTCGACGAACCAACTGGTGTAACTGCAAAGATAATAGATGGGGCAGCAATGGTTCAGTTTTGAAAGCCAAATCAGTTCAAAACATTCGGTGAATATAGCAAGGAAGTCTTTCGTAAAGCTGTCTTTAGAGAATTTTCCACCAATGGCATGCAGCGAGTCGATGTCGTCTTTGACAGATACATAAGTGGTAGCCTGAAATCAGAAACGAGAGAAGGGCGAGGTTCTGGGATTCGAATCCTTGTTAATGAAGCCACTCCTATCTGGAAAAATTGGCAAAAATTTCTTAGAAATGACGAAAACAAAAAGGAGCTGTTTCATTTGCTGGCTGTCGATTTGACAAGCGAATCCTTGACAAGTTGTGTCGTAGTTGCTACAGATTCTGAAGAAGTGCTATCATCAGAAGCAACCGATCTTACGTTTTTAACTCCTTGCAACCACGAAGAGGCGGACACACGCATTTTCCTGCACGTCAAACATTGCCCTGATTCCGGTCATAGCAAAGTCGCTATAAGAACTATCGACACAGATGTTGTTGTTATCGCCATCTCATGTTTTCATTCACTAGAGGTTGAGGAATTATGGATAGAGTTTGGCGTCGGAAAATCAAGACGGTGGTTACCAGTTCACTCGTATGTACATGCTTTGGGACAAGACGTTTGCAAAGGCCTTCCATTTTGGTATGCATTCACTGGCTGTGACACTGTGTTGTCATTTTCTGGAAAAGGAAAGAAAATAGCTTGGAACACCTGGAAAGCTTTTCCTGAGGCCACGGATACCTTTGCAAGGTAAGTTCTTTAAGTAACTAATCTTTCTTTTTGATAGTATAGTTTCTAGCTTTTTGTCACAGAGATACAAGAGAACTTCAGAGCAAAGAACATTTTTCTGGGATTGCTGAATAAACTCTAGTTTAAAGATTTATCTACAGATTTATTGTATCTAAAGAAGTGCATTTGTTTGCTATTTAAATTTATCCCATTTTTCAGATTGTCGAATGGTGAGAATGGCCAACCTAGTGATATTGATGTCAAGATGATAGAGCGTTTTGTGGTATTGATGTACCAAAGAACGTCTTCACTCAGCGACGTAAACGAGTGTCGCCGATATTTGTTCACCAAGAAGGGTTGCCCAAGTGAAAGTTTGCCACCAACAAGTGATGCACTTCTTCAACATACAAGACGGGCTATTTTTCAAGCTGGGTAAGTATTGAAAGACTATTCACGTTGAAGTTTACAGAAGCATGTATTGGTAACATTGGGCGACCTGCCTTCCTTGAAGGCGAAAAAAGCTTTGGATAGTAGACCAATTCTTAAGGTTCTTGAAGCTCCTTTTTGCTTTCACTTCATCAAACATTTCTTTGGTTCTGTTCCTTAACAAAACTTACTTCATACAAACTCAATAGTCATTGTGAAAACCAACTTTCATTGTTCGACCCAAACACCAAATTCAGACTCGATATGCTTCCAAATATTCTGGAAGGGAATGGCACTAAGATTTTACTCTTTCCTTAAAGGTTTGTCTGGTGTCAATCAACGGTGAAAACGCAGCATCTACCTCCAATTGTAGAATGGGGTTGGAATGAAAATGTGTCACCTTTATGGATGGTTGTCCCGGAAGCCTCAAAAGCATGCCAGGAGCTAATCAAATGTGGATGTAGGCAGAAATGTTCGACACGATGTAAATGCAGACAGTTTGGTTTGGAATGCACGGAATTGTGCATGTGCAATGGGCAGTGCCTCGAAGAATTAGACATTTGAACTTTCAATTTGAACTAATTTTCCTTTGACAATGAAATTTTCGCGCTTGATGAACAATTAATCGTTAGTAGAGGTCTGGATCCAAGTACCTCTTTCTAAAAATAGACTGCAGGCCTAATATGAAAGTTGAGAAATTGTTTTCATCGCTATGAGGATCTTAATCTCTGTGATATTAGTAATTTTAGTATTTCGCTCCCGGGTACTACAGAAAAATGATCAGCACCTTTCCTGGAGGTCTGGGACCAAGAACCCCATCTAAAAATAGAATATGGGGGCAATTCATTTTGAAATAACAATATTATTGCATTTTCATGCCTGATTATACACTTATACAACTCTGTATGCTTTTAATACGGAAATGTGGTGTAAAATTGGTAGAATTAGTTGAGGAGGACTGGGTCCGAGTATCATCATCTAAAAATAGCTTTTTGGGGTAATTTACAGGTGGGGTCCCGATCTCATCGTTTTCAGCATGTCAAAATCTATAGGTATGCCAATTTTCATGCTTTCTTCACCAAATGCACGATTGTTATGAAATCTGCCACTGGTTGCCCTCACTACTATCCAGACTTAACCCACCCCTTCTAGTCTGGATAGGGTTAAACACAGTATTTGACTTGAATTGTGCAAATTGTGGTACCAGCATGAAAATGGGTACACTGGGGCAATTTAACACGTTGTTAATGATAGACTTCACCTGCGTTTGCTGCAAAAACTATCCTAAGAGGTGTAGTTTCCGAATCTTTGAGGACGAAAAAATGAGGCAAGTAGTGACATCCTTCCTCGGGCCAAGGTTCTTCTAAATCACGTAATTCCTCTATGTACTCCTTACTTAAGTGCTCTGTCATAACTTTACGATACGTGTCCATAAGATCGAGTTTAGTTAAACGCGCTGTTACTTGATCTAAACGCTTTTTAAAGCTCCAAATTAGACGGTAAGGGCAGGTGGTTTGTTTTCCAAGGTAATGGGGCGAAGTACTGCCCGTCACGAAATTCAATCTGCTTTCGGTAACCATGGAGAAAGTTATTTTCTGGCTTGTCGTTTTCAGGGTCACTAACAAATTGACCTTGAAAAAGTCGATCGACTTGAATAAGCAAACTTTCATTGTCAACAAGATTTTGAAAAGAGACGTTTTGGCTAGCATCGTTATCTTCGCACAACACATCAATGTATTTTGTAACTAAATCTGAATCTTTAATAGCGTGATTACCAATAATAGCAGTAGTAAGCATCGCGTTTTGTGGCCAAGGGCCATAAAGGACGTCACCGAAATGTGATTCCTGGATTAATGGCTGCGAATTATCTTGAATAATTTCCCCAAGAAAATGATAAGCGGCATCAGCACCCAAAAGAATATCAACTGCAAATTTATCTTCTTCAAAATCGATTGCCAAAGTTAACCCTTGAAGATGGGGGTGCGATTTGAATTGCGAATACCCAGAGTGATCTAGAGGCTGAACAATTTCCTCAGTAATTAAAACGCGTACGTGTTCGATACCTTGTGGGGTTTCCAAGACAATTTCTGTTACCCCGTAATTATGTTGGGTTACTGTCCCTCCAAACCCTGACACAGATGATAATAACACAGATAATAAATTAGCTTCTAAAGAACGAATGTCCCCCATAACTGAATTGTAAAACTGACGAATACTAGCGGCAAAGGGGGTGGGCTTTGGCATTTTTAGAAGATTCATTATGTGGGCCCGAATTATACGTCTGGGGAGACCGAAATTCTCCTTTAGCGTTTCTTCTAAAACTCTGTAATTTAGTTCGGAGGGTATTATCCCTTTAACAGTATCTAAAGCTTCTCCCCTTAGTTGGCCCACTAAATACGTGAACTTTGCAGTGTTAGGGAGGTCTGGAGAGTTCCCAACTTGCGACTGGAAACGTTCCCAAAAGCCAAACCATTCGGTAATATTCCCATCAAAGGTCGGAAGGTTAAGATCGGGCAATTTTGATCAAGAAAATGACTGTGAATGATGTGGCTGTGAATTGGTTGTGGATAGCTTATCAAATTTCGTTAGAAGAAATTCAATTTTATCTATTTTACCTTCTATTTCCATGGCAAATACCTCAGCTTCATCGCAAAAGTTGTCGAGTTCGGCTTCACCTTCTAAATTCCTCAAACAAAATGCTTTGTAGCTCCTTATCAATTGCGATACTTTCCAACTGTTTTGCCTTTAACGCTTTAAATAATGATTTTAAAGAACGAATTTCTTCCTCTTGTAAACGCGTTACGCTGAAAAGCGTCAAGGCTTCGCTGTGTATCTTTGTGAACGAACGGCGAATCTGCCTTTTCTCCTGTTTTTACTTCTCCAACTTCGATTTGGGCATTGTTACGAATGCTTGAAAACTTTCACAGCAGCGAAAGAGCGAAAAACGAAACGTAGACGGACGATCTGGTTATGGCACCATTTTGTTGAGTAGCCAGAGAAGAGACAGTGTTTACAGTAGGGAAATATATACATAACCTTTAAGCATTTACACGAAAACTAAGCATAACTCAGCAGTAAGTTCGTTAAGAATGCCAAAAGCGATTATTCAAAGCAATTATGATTGTCATGTGATTGTCATGTGACTCTACTTGACATTTGCTGCAAGATTACTTCAACCTCAGTGCATCCATTCTCTTTTTCAATATTTCCATACATATGAAGGATTTGCTGCCTCAGTGCATTGTTTAGATTGGTTGAGAGACTGTCATAGTTCCTTCCAAATATTGATGTTGACACAAGCCAATGATTTCCGACATTACGACATTATGACTTCTATTCCATTAAGTGTAGTCTGTTCGTAATTTTAGTGGATGTTGAATACATGATATTTGCAGAAAACTAATTTATATTGGGTAGAATGATTAATACTCACCTGAGCATGATCCCTTCTTCCCTGACATAAAAGATTGACTGCCTTTTCAATTATAATCATGTCAATTTTGATTCTTTATTTTTGAAAACCCTTATTAAAAAGAATAATGCATAGAACAAGTCCAAAAAGCTAATTATTTTGATAATGCCAAGATCTCTTTTTCTATCTTGATAATGCCTATTTAACTAATTTATGCAGGTAAAAAGAACTTAGATTTGTGTGCCCCCAGGCCCGTAGCCAAGGGTTGGCATGGGGTGGCAATGCCACCCCTGGAGCAAGATAGTGCCGGCTGTTTGCCATTCCCGAAAATTTTGTCTCTTCATTTTTAATGGAGTTTTTCTTTGTCCTCATTATTACCCATGTTGAACTTAAGATTATGTCCTGGAGCTCAAAAAAAACTTTCGCTACCAAGCAAAAACTTCACAGTGGTCAGGGCCTTTCAAAATCGCAAGTTATGTGAACAAGAAATTTTGTGGACAATATTCTATGGTATAGACACCCAATGGAACAATCAGTGGTCAGCAACATTCAGCGAAGAAGGGCCTTTGTTCCCAAGCACTTTGTTGATTTTGTCAGAAGCGACAGTTATATTGTCAAAGTCAGTATCTGTTTCCACTAACTCTAGCCACCGCCTCCCCCCACCCCGATAAAAACTTCCCTTTAAACTTCGCCTGCATTGATCACGGGGACTTTGCCACCCATACTACACATGCCTGGCTACGGGCTTGTGTGCCCCCTTTTTATTCTTATTTTTATTTGTTTTTTCAAAACCATCTTTTTTACAGTATCTTGATCTTAGTCCATGTTTCGTTTAAACTTTGTGGCGAAGCTGTAACAGAAGCTTCACCGGCACCGCCCCCTAGGTCACCGTCCTTGGGTAACCTAAAACCTTCAATTTCAAAGCTAGATCTACATTTGCAAATGAAAAGAGTAACGTAACAAAGCTTGCTTCTTTATACACGCATCGCCAACCGCTAAAAGTTTCTTTTTTTAAGGTTTCAGAATCATCCAGCAATTCGAGCTTTGACAAGAGTTCCTTCAGTGCCGTGTTTTTCACACAAAGTTCCTGCCATTTAAAAATCACCCTCAGTTTTGTGATGGCCTCTTTCGCATTTACAGTGACATAATGCTGTACGCTAAGTCTATATGATCTAGTGCCCACCGAAAAAATCAGCATTAGAGTTCATAAAAAATTCACAGAAAAGGTCCCTGCCCCACAGGTACAATTTGACCAAAACTCTAGTGTGCACAATATGCCAAAAGATGCGTTTCTCACACCAATGCCATGCCAAACAACTTAACTTCACTCCAAAGACCTTTGGAATTTGCTGTTTAGAATGCACCCTAGTCCCCATTCAGGAAACTGCAGCACAAACCATTGACCTCAATACATTGAAGGTCAGATTAAGTCAAATTTTAAAAGGTAAAATGTTGCAGTTTTATCTCAACCTTACTATGATGTCTTATAGGAGTACACAAGATTCTTTATAAAATCTTGAATTTAATCAATCCTAAACGAAATTCCTCCAAAAAGCAGCTTTTCAAATGATATTTTTGGCTTTTATATAGTATTCCCAATTCATTCACCAATAGTTTCTAAGGGGAGAGAATGCAGGAAAACCATTCTGATACTTTTATAAATCTCTGGGAATATTCATCCAAATCCTGGCCCTTCCTTCATGTCAAAATCATACCTGCAGACTGTGCAATGAGCATGTTGACACAAAGAAAAGAATTATCTGTTGTGATGTTTGTGATGCTTGGTCTCATATCAATTGTGTGAGAGCCAAACAGATCGATTCTTGCCTTGCAGATACAAATGTTGCCTGGATTTGCGATCAGTGTGACAGCTCTAACTTTTCTCATAGTTTTCGCTTATCTATATCTGATATAAAACCTAGTAATTATTTAACTCCTCTTTCAAATCAGCTAGGCTTGCCTGCAGCCCACTTTAGCCCAATAGCGAGTCGTGAGTCTTTTAACTCAGATGTGAAAAGTCTTTCAAATCTTCCATTAAAACCTCTTACCGCTAATGTAAACCATCTGCTTTCAAAGCGATTAGAATTAAAGCAATTTATAACGGACAATGATATTGATCGCATGTGAAACTAAAATTAACAACGACGTGCTTGATTCAGAATTAGGTCTGCATGATTTTGACATTTATCTCCAAGATAGAGACCTACACGGAGGCGGGGTACTCATTGCAGTTGAAAAAAAACATCAAATCAGTAAAACTAAATATAAAAACAAATTGTGAACTAGTTTTTGTCAAAATATTATCAAACAATACAATCCCAGTCATAATTGGCTCCTTTTATCGCGATTCTGTTTCAGTTTCTTGGAAGAGGTGAAATCTATGTTCTTGACTGGAGCATAGGATATTTCCTTGACATATGTTGGCAAGATCCATGTACATTTGGTTTGTGTACAAGCAAGCTTACCATTGAGTCTGGTCCAAACTTCTAAATAGAAAATAACACTTGCAATGTGGGAACAGCATTCCCCAAGGCCTTCCATACAGCCTACACAATGTGCGCAAAGAAACGTCCCGTCTTTTTCCGTTATGATCCAAAGCAGAACAGGTGGATCATTCATCCTCTGTGAGTGCCGTACATTTCCCAAAACAACGTATTTGTTGGAAATAATCTGTCCCTGGACACTTGATATAAATCCAGAGACCATTTGATTGTAAGCATGCAAACTTCGAAATGCTTTGAATTGCATATTTGTATAGTAGCTTGTGTCCAAAACAAAGCACGAGAGTAAATCGGCGGCTTCAACTGGTGGCAAGCATTCTGGATCGTGTTTTTCTTATGAAATCGGCAAAGGGTCAATACCAATTATTGCTACTTTCTCCATTTACCTCTCTTTAACATGTGAATCCAATCGTTCTGCATAATGGGATAATAGGATCGCTTCGTGTCGAGTTTTCACGTCCCTCTTCATGACAGTCTCAGTTGAATTAGGTGGAACACCAACATGGCCGCCAACCTCGTTTCCGATTTTCCTACGTCACATGAAAACGCTTTATTGCAGTCGTCATAGTCTCGAGAGCGCCTCTTTTGTCCCATCTCTAAATGTTGCTCACTTGCACAAACTGTTATTCCCGTCAAATCTGTCATTGCTTCGTGCACAGCAGCCCTGTAGCTGGTGCTATTCACCCAAAGTTGATGGACATCTTCCTCAAATCCACGACCTCTTGTTACACGTCCCCTGCTCTTGATGGAACGCATCTGGGTTTGCTCGATCACCAAATCGGTCCATAAACCAGCCCAATACCTTTCAGAGCCACGAACAGCATGATGACCTTCTTAAGTGACCTTGAACATATATTTGTGTGCTCTTTGCGTAGTTCATGTGACCATTTCCCGCAAACAGGTTAAGCATCTTCTGGGCTGTTCGAACATGCAACATCCAGTTTGAGGTACGTTCCTTCACAATTCGCCAGCGAGAATTCTTTCACAATTCCAATGCAATTGATGTAAAGCAGCCACAGTTTAGCTGTGCGTGACACACTGATTTTGCGACTGAATTCCGTTATCATTTTGTGCACATTTAATTACATAGCATCACCAGATCTGTATATTTCCTTTTATGTGCTTAATTGCACATTCCAAGGGTAAACATGTTAAAGAAAAGTTTTTTATCATGAATTTGTCTATCAAAAGATGTAAATGTTATGTGGTTTTGGCGACAAAAGTTTTGAGCCCCTGCTGATCAGTCAGCCATTATGGGATTTGCCCATATAAGGAGTTCCCAATGCCCAATTGATGGGGCTTTTTTTCTGGTCATTCCTAAGATAGAATAGAACATCTGTGCCAAATTTCAGCTTTATATTATTTTTGTCCAGGTTAGACCGTTTCCACACCTAATTCCGCTACACTGCCAGGTAACTGGATTTCATTACCATTTTTGCGTAAAACTTGCCATAGTCCAGGGGCATCCTGATTTGTCTGATGTGGGATCCCCGCAGAATAAAGCTGCCACCAAAGCTCTCCAGGAAGGTAGTCGCAAAAGAAAACGTTTTGATTCTTCTCCCAGCCAGTCTGCACAATTCAGTTCAAAACCAAGACAACATCTTACAAATCTGACTACATAGACTTACTTAGACTTAGTTCCGCCTGTGCATTTCTGCACATCGGGCAACAAGCTCCATCCATGTCGATCCCGGGCTTCCTCTTGAGCATCCTCCCATGGCACGTCCAGATCCTTCAGGTCACTCTCCAACGTTTTTCTCCAGGTGTTCCGAGGTCGTTCGATTTTACGTCTTCCACTAGGGGGAATCCAGTTCATGGCGATCTTTGGATTCTGGTCCTCTTTCATTCGGAAAGCATGTCCCGCTACCCTCATTCTTCGTTCTGCAACAGTTGCATACAGTCGTTTCATCTTTGATCTACTCAAGACTTCTTGGTTGGTAACTCGATCAAGATAAGAGATGTTAAGAATACGTTGAAGACAACGCTGCTGGAATACATTCAGTTGGTTAGCAATTTTCGATTTGTGTTGCCAGGTTTCTGCTGCATAGAGAACTGTTGGTACTACAATAGAGTTTAACAGACAGAGTTTAACACTGCTTTCGATAGATTGTGCTGTCCATATTGGTCGTAGTCTCTTGAATACAGATGATGCTTTTCCGATTCGTACCGTCACATCCTCATCGCTTCCACCATCCTTTCCCAAAACACTGCCAAGGTAAGTGAATTGTTCGACTTCCTCAAGTTTTTCTCCAGCCACCGTTATCCCAACATTTGTCACTCGGTTCACCTTCATAGTCTTAGTTTTCTCTGCGCTGATACCTAACCCAACTTTAGTGGCTTCCCTTTCTAAATTTCTGGTCATTTGTTGGAGTGCAGGTTTTGTGGCAGCGAGCAAGCCTATGTCATCTGCGAAATCAAGATCTGTGAGTCGTTTCTGGTCTTTCCAAACAATGCCAAACTTGTGACCTTCCATCGCACGTCTCATAACGAAATCTAAAACTAGCGTGAATAGGAAAGGCGATAAGACACACCTCTGGCGCACGCCGGTCTCGATACTGAAGAAATCAGTTGTGCCTGATTCAGTCTTCACACAGCAAGTCAACCCATCATAAAGATTTTTAAAAATGTTGATAAATCGTGGGGGGATTCCATAAGAGGGTGCGATTTTCCAGAGTGACTCCTGGTGAACGCTATCGAAGGCCTTCTTAAAGTCAACAAAATTGAGGAGCAATTGTCTTTGGTGTTCAATACTCTGTTCGATAATATTTCTAAGTGTGAGAATTTGGTCTATACATGATCTTCCGTCGCGAAAACCAGCTTGTTCTTCTCTCAACAATTTATCCACTGCTCGTTTTAGTCGGTTTAGCATCACGATGCAGAAAACCTTCCCTGGAATTGAAAGCAAAGTAATTCCTCTCTAATTATTGCAGTCATTTAGAGCGCCCTTCTTTGGAAGTTTGACGATAGCTCCTTTTTTCCATTCTTGTGGAACACATTCTTTCTCCCAGCACTGGTTTAGAAGTCCCGTCAACCATTCTTTCAATACAGCACCACCATTTTTAATAATCTCGGCTGAAACCTGGTCAAGACCAGGGGCCTTGTTAATTTTCAGGCTCTTGATTGCTTTCTCCACTTCTCTTTCAGTTATTGGATTAAGGTCTACATCCAATAAATCACCTGGGATAATTGCATTGAAATCTTAAATAGTTGTGGGTGAGGGCTGGTTGAGGACTTCATGAAAATGTTCGATCCAACGTGCATCTTGTTCCTCTTGTGTTAAAAGGATCTTCCCATTTTTGTCTTTTATTGGTACACTGGCATTACTCTTCGCTCCAGTCAGCTCACGGACTATCCTTTAAAGCGTCTTGGTGTCATTTTTGTTTGCTGCTTTTTGTGCCTTTTCTCCCTTCTTCTCCACCCATGCCTTCTTGTCTGCACGACAGCTTCGTTTGACTTTTCTGTCAAGGTCTCGGTAGGCTTCAACAGTTTCTCTTTTTGCTTCTGCTGTTTCGGCTTGATCACGATGTTGTTTAGCTCGTTTTCGCTCATCTATTAGGTTCCAGGAGCGTTCCTGTATCCAACGTTCTCGATGTGTCCCGCGTCGCTGTCCAATAACCTCATCTGCTGCTGCTGTAGTAGTCTCTTTGATCTTAGACCAACAGTCCTCAATATCATTACCATCATCATATCATTAACTAGTTGGAACTTAGTTATCGTGTCTGCGTCTTTCAGTTTTTCCACTGCATAGGGACGAATAATTTTCGGTTTGATATACGTTTAAATTTAAGTTGGATCGTGGCCAAAAGGAGATGGTGATCTGACCCAATGTCAGCTCCACGAAATGTTCGTATATCCTGGATCGCCGATTTCCAACGATTTGCTACGCAGATATAATCTATTTCATTTTTGGTATTACCATCTGGTGATCGCCATGTCTTTTTGTGTATTTTCTTGAGCGTAAAGTATGTATTACCAATACGTAACGCATGGTGACTACAAAGAGGCAGTAACCAATGGCCATTATCAGTGGTCACCTGTGATGATCCATGGGGGCCAATTACATCTTCCCATCCTCTTCCTTCTCCATTGATTTGAGCATTAAAGTCACCCATGAGGATTATTACGTCATGAGTGTGTACATCTCTTAGGACATTGTCTAGTTGGTCATAGAATGCATCCTTTTCATGTTCTCCAGCTCCTTCTGTTGGCGTGTATACTTGAATCACTGTTGTTTTTGCATGATGTGACAGAAGACATGCTGTAATAATTCGGTTGCTCACTGGTTTCATCCCATTAATGACTGTGCTGCTTCCTGGCCCAGCACTATTCCAACACCATTGTGGTGATTTCCATCATCATTTCCTCAATAATTTATTGTTTTTCCATCGCTGGTTATTTTTCCACTTCCCGTCCAACGCATCTCGCTTATGCCAAGAATCTCAAGATCATGGTTCTCAAATTCACGAATAAGCTGACCAAGTTTCCCCGATTGGTAAAGCATCCGAACGTTCCATGTCGCCAAACGCATAGGAGTTTTTGCCGATACAACTCTGCCCCTCATCAGATGAGTGACTTCCTCTCGGCTTTGATCCCTCATCGTCATCAGTCCATTAGAGGAAGAAGCAAAATCGTCAGGCGGATTTTCTGAGTTATAATGGTTATTGCTTGTTGTTTCTGTAGCAAGAAAGGTTTTACGGGGTTGGGGAGCTAACCCAAAGCCCAAACCTCCTCCCCAAACCCCCATTTGGGGCGCCGGGCTTGGGACCGGTGTCTAGTGGAGTTAATACATAGTTGCAAACATAGACTACATAGTTGCAAATGAAATCACCACAATTACAAAACTTTTTTTCAAGGGCAGAATCTCGCAAAGAGGAGGGGAACTGCAATTTAGTTGTGTTTTTATTATCAAGGACACAGAAATCGTTGCAAAGCTTGTAAGCAATGCTTGGCTTCTTAAAAACTGCAGCCACATCTTTGGTCGATGAATTTCTAGATTAGATAAGATACGCAATGCTGTATCATCTTTAAAGTTAGGCTGTTTGTCAATAAAGCCAACAACAAATATGCTTGGGTTGGGGGAGATAAAGCTGAAGTTATAATTATTCAAGACTTTGGGTTTTCCAGAGATGCCATTCCGTGGAAAGATCTGCTGCTGCTTTTGGAAGGTGAAACTGTCAAGCTTCCTGCTCCATAGAAACTTTTTGTAACAGACATTGTGATTGGTACGGAAGTGCTAATTTTTGCCACAACAAAGTCACCAATCGTTTATATAGGCCTTTACAACATGGAAGATGAGGGTGAAACGAAGATGATGAATAACAGGTGGAGAAAGGTCAAATTTAGACATGTATTTGAAGTGGACCAGCAGAGAAGGGTGAAACCATGTGGCAGTTGTTTTGGTAAAACTCGTTCAAATGGGAGCAAATAAAAATTCCTGATTTTGCTTGTCTAAATTTATATTTTTCACAAGAGAAGGCAGAACGTGACACATTTTGGTATGATAGCTTTTATATCTACCATAGAAATTGTTCCCCTCCCTACCCTTCATTTCGTAGTCTTTTTCTTTCATTCTTATCAAGTTCTATAATTGAAAAAGTTAATGAAACTTAGCTAATGGCATTTTTCTTACAAGGACCAAACTCATTTTGTGAAAAGACTGCTGAGGATATTCCCAACATTCTTAAACCTAACCATCCCATCCAAAAAATACTCACGACCCCCAACAAATGTCACCCATAAGATGCAAAAGTATGTTATTTGCTAAACAGGAGTTGTGTTACAATAAATGTCCACTTTACATTCATGCAAGAGTAAGAACTTTTGAATGTAAACAATAGCAAAATATGGCTAAGTCTCGAAATTTTTAAGAGAATCTTTTACAAAATGTAATGAGACCAGTGATAAAATCAGAACAAATTTATTGACAGTGATCTACTAGATTTGTATTTAACAGTACATCTACAACCTTCATCTGCCAGAGGTTTATCGTTGCTACACTGGTGTTATCGTAGACCCTGTTTAAGCACTTTGTGTCTGTTTTAAGCGTTTTGGGTATCCCTGTCACTATGCAGATTTAGTTCCAAGGTTCGGAAGGCCAGTTCCACAGCTATGCATGATCTGCAACTTCGTAGTTGATGATATATTTGACAGATTTTCTCATCTACTATGCAGATTTTCTCATCTACTGAGCGACCTGAACCAGTCGCAGCTTTCAAGAGAGAATCTCCAGTCATTTGCTGATGCAGCAAACAACTAAGGTGCTGCATTGGACAACTGCTGGGAATTCGTTGATGGCACAGCCAGGCCTATATGCAAGCCTACCCGGAATCAAAGAGCTGTCTACAATGAGCACCAAAGGGTTCATGCACTCAAGTTACAGTCAGTTGTTGATCCTAATGGCATGATTGCAAACCTTCTTGGACCTTTTGGAGGTAGGAGACATGACATCAGACTGCTTGCAATGTCTGGTCTACTGGAGCAGCTAGAACAACACTCCTTTTCCCTGGCAGTGTAGCTCTTTGCATCTATGGTGATCCTGCTTACCCGCATCGTGTTCACCTCCGACGCCTGTTTGCAAGAAGAGCAGCTCTCACACCTGACAAGCTCGCTTTTAATCAGTTTGAGAGTGGGAGTTTGGAGACATAATGAACTCCTTCAAGTTTGTGGATTTCAAGAAAAATTTAACACTCACTAAATATTGCTACACATATTGAATTTACAAACTCTCTATTTTATTGTTTTATATTCTGTTCAACAGCCACCCCTGTTTTTATATGCCCTTTTGTTGATAGCTGTTCGAAATAAAGCTAAAAGAGAAATATAATCTACTCATGAATGTAAGTTGTACTTCTGTTAAAAAAACAAATTGCACTTTCAGGCCAACATGCAGGTCAACCAGGAATCCAATTTCAAAAAGAAATCAATACATAGCTTTTTGATGAAATCCTCTCGCATTTGAAATAATAGCTACAGTCAATATTGCTTATATACTAATCATCAGTAGCCGGATCATTAATATGGCAAAAATCCAAAATTGAGATGAAATAGCATAATGCCATTTCTCAACTGGAAAGGACATGTGCCATTTTTGTAAATAGTTGCCGTAAAATGTCTTTGTGCAGCAGCATTTGATAAAAAACTCAATTGATTGTTCAAGTAAGAGTGTTGCTTCCATTGATTATTGCAAAGTCAAATTGCTACAGAAAAGCAACAGGAAAACCTTCAATAAAATGTTTCCAAGGTAATGCAGAGGCAATACAGATAATTTGAAACCATTTCAGATATCAAACAGTTGTAATACTATCAGGGTCTTATTTGATTGACAAATAAAACGTAACTGCAGTTTACAGTAAAATATGATTAACTGCAAAATCAGACTTTATTTAAAAAGCAAAACTATAGTTAAAAAGTACAGCTGTAAACAAATGACCAACTGTAAAACTTTATCTCGTTGGGATCACAAATTTTGCTTAGGAATTACAAAACAAGATAGAAATGGAGTGGAGAAAATTTCATTACTTAACACGACAAATTTGAATGTTCTTTTTAAGGGAAGGTCAATTGCATAAAATAAAGCATAGAGCATGATGGACTTAAGTTTTTAACTTGAAATCTACAAATCCAAGAGTGTACAGCTGGCATTCACCACCAGTTTTTTTCCCTCATTTCTAGCTCTCGTCGCTTAATTTCCCACTCTCCCTCCATTTCCTTTTCTTTCATCTTCACATTTACTTTTCATTTATCTCAATCTTTTTTCTTCTTTATCCAAACTCTTATCTTTTTAGCTCCGCCTCTCTATCAGCCTTTTCCCTCTTATAGTACATCACCTCAGTGTCCTTGTCCAAATCAATCAATCAGCCAATTGATTCTGCAGTGTCCTTCTCCTTTTCAACTACTTTCCCCCAACCCTTAACATGACAGCTTGTGCCTCAGTGACCCTTTCAATAATGTCTTGATTTGCTTGCTCCAATTCAGTGGGTTCTTGTGGACTGATACCACTAGCACGCTCTTTCTCTGCCATCTCTATTTTGAAGCTCCTCTTCAAAAACGGTCCCGGAATGCTCTTTGACCTAGACTAAAATCTGGTTGGCCAATTTTATCTAAATTAGTGGGCACCTTATTCCAACCGTGACCACGTTTCCAAGAACCCATTTTAAACTGGTAAGGCTCCTCAACAAGGATCTCTCTACAGAGCAGTGTGTCATGCTCAAGGGTCCATTCCATTTTTGGTCTAATTAATAGAACATTGAAATAGAATAAAACTCAATAAGGATACATATCTGAGCCAAATCAAGAATACATTTATATTCAAAGCTCATTTACTCTGAAATCTCAACAAGCAATCTGTAAAATAATATATATTTAAAAACTAAAACCACTCTTCATAGCAGTTATAGAATGTTATCATGACATAAATTAATTTTGCTAAGGCTATAAGCCTTTTACAGTTCAATCTTATACCGAGTTCTACTTGTAATTGTAACAAAGATCTTGGGTTGACTGAAAGGGTAAGCTGAAAAGAGGAGCTCTAATCTAGATTTAGGGTTCCTGGATCCTGAAAGATGGGATGTTGTTTTTTTTGTATCCATATTTTAGTTGGCATGTACACAAATAGTTAATAAATTTTGAATCAATGAATACTTCTATCTGGAGCCTAAAGCAAAATTACAAATGGTTTACAAAAGAATTTCGATAGGTTTTCTTTTGGTTAAATACTCTAAACAGGCTTTGGCATTATTACGAGGTGGGGAGGAAAAGTATTCTCACAATTTTTGTGGACAATTGTACTATCTTCACCAGAATATCTGCACAACTTCTTTCACAAAATTTTCCTTTTTCGTAAAAGAATATCTTTACAATTTCTTGATGAGATTTTTTTATCCCTTGTTCTTGCATATAGACGATTTGCAGTGTTGACATTTTTCTCTAAAAATTCCGCATGCGTATTGCGTGGCAGGTCAGAGTCAAGAGTGAGTGTCGAATCGAAGCATGCAAAACAAAACAAACATTCGTCTGTCGTCTGCTCATGTGAAGTTTAAGTTCAACAATGCCTGATTTTTGTTGTGCTTATGGTTGCAGCAATAAAAGAACCAAAGGATCCAGTCTTAGTTTTTATTGGATACCATTTGGAACCAGCGAAGAAAGTTTAGCTCTGCGTCAGCTATGGATAGCTGCCATCAGGAAGGAGAAATGGACTGAGAAGCAAATCGACAATGGAAGAATATGCAGTGCTCATTTAATAAGTGGTAAGATAATTGCTTTGAGTTAATAGAAAACTAAGTATATAAAAATTATATCTTCAATGCTGATAATTTTTTATTAGCTAGCTTATTGTGTCCACATGCTAATTTTATGATCTTGTGTTGCGATATTTTTTAGGCCAACGCTCGCTGGACAAAAATTCACCAGATTATGTGCCCTCTGTATTTTGCTTTGCAAATAAGATCACGGAAACGAAAAGAAAAACGAAATTTGATTGGTCGTTTTTTGAAGCGCCAGAAGGTAACAGAGTCTTCCATGATGATGGAGATGAAGAGCCCAATATGGCAATTGGATTTGAATCAAATGTTGACATACCTAATGAAACTGATGCATGTTCTATACCTGCCATGAGCAAAGATGTGTCATCTCAAAGCAAAGTGGACAAAGAAGTTCAAACTGAAAATCAGGCTTCAAGGCATGTGAGAAAATTGAATCTGTACCTCAGGATTAGTAGCAGTGATAAGCTCATAAACTTTTACACTGGTTTGCCAAATACTGCTGTGTTTCAATGGGTGCTTTCTCTAATTGCCGTGAAAAAGATTAACAAGTGCACCAAGATCACAAAAGAGGAGCATTTGCTGTTAATTTTGGTGAAATTAAAATTGGGTCTTTTGAATGCAGATCTTGCATTTCGTTTTGGTGTAGAACAGTCCAATGTAAGCAGAATTTACAACCACTGGATTCCTGCACTCTCTGAGGCTATGGAATTTTTGTTGATATGGCCAGAAAGAGACCAATTGAGAAAAAACATGCCTAAGTGTTTCAAGAATTATAGAAATTTTGTTGCAATAATTGACTGCACAGAAATTTTTATTGAAAGACCTTTCAACTTGCAAGCACGTGCACAAACTTGGTCTAATTATAAAAATACAAACACTATCAAGTATTTGATAGCTATCACCCCTGCTGGAGCAGTGAGTTTTTTATCGCAAGGATGTAGAGGGCGAGTTTCCGACAAAGAAATTACAATGAGTTCAGGTTTTTTAAACTTCCTACAACATGGGGATTTAGTACTTGCTGACCGTGGATTCACCATCTCAGAAGAACTTGCAACTCGTGGAGCAACTTTAAAAATTCCTGAGTTTACCAAGGGAAAGTCCCAAATGTCTGCAAAAGAAGAAGATGTCTGCAGGAAATTATCCAATGTGAGGATACACGTGGAAAGAGTGATTGGGAGGCTAAGAAAATTTAGAATCTTGCAATCAACAATATGTAATGAAAATCATTTCAGCATTAGTAAATATAAATAACAGTGTAGTTTCGAAAGGCTAGAATTGATATGGTTTTAACCAATGATACTCTCTAGTTAAGAAGGCAAGAATAATATTTCTTTGCAATCTGTTGTGGACTGAAAATGATAGGAATTAGAACTAGACTTGAGTTTCCAGTGTTTAATTTTGATCAACTTTTGCAGGAATTTTGACATGACAAAGAAAATTTTATTTTGGCCTGTGCAATCTGGAGAGTATCATGGTAGATTTTCCATGATGCATTTACTGCCTATTATTTTTACAGTCTTTACAAAACCATTTGCCTTTTGGTTTGGTTAAGAAGCTTGGGCGGTTGCAAATGCAGTAATTTTTTTCATTTTGTTCAATTTCACTAGGACTATTTTTCCGTGACAGCAGCTCGGGAAGGATGACAATTTCGAATGGTTTTTCATATTTTCCGAGCATCTTTGAACATAAATCTTCATCTTTGTCAATCTTCAGCAATATAAAATTGCTATTTACAGGGTCCATTGTCCAGATATAGAGATAGGCAAGTGGTAAACCTGTTACCAGCATTTGAAGTTGCATTTGAAAATAGTATTGATGACTTTTCCTGATTTCTCCATCTGGTGATATGGGAAAGCTGGAGTCAGATTCCCAACCTTTAAGGCAATGTCTGTATTTGAAAGGGAATTTTATTTCTAAAACCCCTTGGCCATGACAGGCACAAGAAACTAGTCCATCTGGAGTTGCCCCCAAATGTGGCAAATTTGAGCTAGCATGCCGTCCTGTCTCAGCCACAGTAACTTTTTCATAGTGAAGGTTGAAGTGCTCAACAAATGACTTCCTAGCAACTACTTCCATTTCTTTACCATATTTTGTAGCTGCAACTTCAACAGGTGGTTCATATTGCATCACTTTGTTTAAAAAAGTTTTAGATGGTGCATCTATTTTTGTTCCATATGCCATTTTGGAAATGGATGATGTGATTCTCCCAACTCTGTGAATTTTCCAGGCTTCTGACAATTTGCTTCTTAGTTATTGTACATAAATTTGAATAATGCTTGTGGGTATAGCTTCTCTTGTACTGTGAGAAGACTTTTTTTGGATAGGTGATGAGGCTTTCAGTATCAAAGTTAATCGCTCTTGATTCAAATAAACCAGAAAGTGGCTCTGGAATGCAGTTACTGTCTTCTTCATCAGCAGTGCCAGTTGCCGTGATTTTTTCCAAGAACATAATTTGCTTGTTGATGCAACTTTGTTCAACTCCGACAGTGTGCAAGCTTGTAATTTAAATAACAATGCTGCAACATGACTGCAAACTGAACCAAGTCTAAAAAGAAAAAAAATATATCAATTATTCAATTTTAACAGACAAATTTCTCAATAATTCATTTACATGCAGAAAAATCTAATTCTGGCGTATTTCCATATGCCAAAAATATGGAAGATAGAATGTCTAAAATTTAGTCTAAAAGTTGCCTTTAAAAAAGTATTATGAAATAAATGACCCTTCTGGGCAACTGGCAGCTATACTATTGTAACAAATTACATTAAATGGCATGCATTGTGTATATAACTTTATTGTGTGTAACATAAAATAAATAAAGTAGTTTTGTGCAATATAGGCCTAGAGATATTTGAAAATTCTAAAAATATATCCTTACTCAGTCACAATCTTTTTCGGTAAACAACTGTTCAGATGAAAAGAAATAATAGAACTAAGTGCCATAGAAATACCCTGCCATGCAAGTGCAATTTGCTGTGAGTATCCATCCTTCACTCTTGTTGAGACATACCCAAACTTTGTAGAGTTTTTGCTTCAATCCTTGACGCTGGCTTGGAAGAACCTCGGATTTAAAGAAGCAAAACTTGTTTTTTTCTTCCACTTCATGATAGAAGATGTTGTGAACGTGACCAGACACGAAAAAATTGTACCCCTCTAGCGATTTATATGCTTTCAAAGACTCTCGACTAAAACAACTTGGATAGTAGATCAGGTAATTATATATGTCCGCCCAAGTGATGTCAGGCAGCAACATAATGTTATCTTGCCATGTTTCAAGCGTGAATGGGTCAGGAAGACGTTCTCCATTTGTTAGAGTTAACTTTCTAACATAATCTGCTTTGTCCTTCTCAGCTAATTTATTAAAATACTCGGAGCGATCACTTTTTTCAGCCATGATTTCAACCTCAGTTTTGTTTTGTTGTAAACTGGAAGCACGCAGTGACTTGGTCTGCCACTTACGACGCATGCACGACATTCACGCGTTGCTTTTAAACAATGCAAATCATCTATTCCAAAAAATGTCTTAATGTCATTTTTGTGAGATCTTGCTTTTCCCTAAAAAATGTGTCCAGATAATAAATAACATTCTTTTAACTTCATGATGAGAATTTTGCTGATCGTTTGATGAGATTTTTTAGTCAAGGGAAAATGGTCCACCGAATATCAGACTCACCCCTAACCAAACTAAGGCAAAACTGTTATGGTAGGAAATACAGGGGCAGCGCATCAGAGATGTCAGACCTGATTGAAGCAATAAGAGTGTCAAGCCACAAGAAAACAGAAGAGAAAGAAAAGCTTTCTATTGGTGATGTGCTCCTAGACTGTTCCCTTCAAGAAGAACAAAGATTGCTGCACAAGATAATTAGCCAAGCAGTAGGCCTAATGATAACAAGCATGGTAAAACGGCAGTGAATTTTTGCAACAGACCGCAAAATCAAGTTCAACATTCAACAAGAAAGTGGCAAAATCCATGAGTACTGTCACGACCGTGCACAAGGATGTGTTCTGTCTGTTTAATCAAAAAGGCCTCCCAAAATATGCCAGAAAGACAAAATCGGACAAAGAAGGATATGTTAAGTGTGCTGTAAAGTTTACTTCTGATATGGGGCAGGAGGAAATATTCTCAACGTTTAGAAAAAAATTCCATGGTAAGTTTGGTGGAAATCTTCCACTATTTAAGATCTTGAAAGCCTATTGATCTGAGCTGGTAAAACCTAATTTGGATGTAAAATGGAATTTCAGAATCCTCATGCACAATGCTAGATTCTTGGTCGCCTGATGTAAAGCTTTTCAATGATATATACACATCAGTATTTTAACGACGTCAGCAATTTGTAATGATGACGTTATCACTTTAAAATTGGCCATCTTTCAGACTCTCAGAAAAAGTTGGACACGCCTTTTTAAATATTTAAAATCTATTTCAAAATTTTTGGATAAGCAACTTTCTCAAGCAGCATTTTCGTAATCAGGGTTTTTTTGCAAGAATGAAAATGGAAACAGTAAAGTACATCAATTATCTATTTACGAGGAAGAAAAAAGCAATTTTAACTTAATGATTTCTGAACGCCAAATTAAGCTTCTTTTCTTTACAAAGCAAGTTTTCAATTCGCACTGGTTTTAGAAACTTCTAAAAGGGTGTCCAGTTTAATTTTGTCATCAAAGTTTCTCTCAATGCTAACTTTCATACGATGTTCCAAGCGTTGGTCTGACATTGAAGCACGCAAGTAATTTATTTATTATCTTCACTTTTCTGAGTGCTCTTTCGCAAGATGCTAATGTTACCAGCAATGTTGAAATGATCTTGATAACCCTGAATAAATCTGGAAAGAGATTGCATAATTCATTTTTGCCGAATATTTTAAGAAATGTTGAAAGGCACAGCCATGTCTCTTGCCTTTTAAATGCTTTGTCACTCTCTCCTCTTTCCTTCTCCTTCAAATAATCTGCATATTCCTTTTTCCAAGTTTCAACCTTGGTTGATTGCGAAAATAACGTAAACTGATGATCAACACGTTTGTTTCCATGTCGTCGATCGCTGCAATCTGCTTTTCTTTCCGCATGTTTTCTTCCATCAGTTTGTAGGGTGGAATGTCTTGCTTGAAGCAAAATATCATAGGCCAGAGAAGAAAATCTTCTGTCAAGCTCATTGATGAGTCGGTCCAGGAAGGGAAAATATAGATCTCTCTAGAACCAATTCTTCTGAGACTGAGATGGATCCAATTGATTTTCTTCCATAGCGCTGCTTTCTCAATATAGGATTCTAGAGCCATTACAAAAATGAGCTTGGATGGTGCGTTTCCTCTTCTTCAAAGCTAGTTACTTGAAGTTGTCACATCCGGCAGTAATTGTCCACTTCTTGAATGAATTCCTCCATTTTTGCATCATTTTTGAGATCTTGTAAGGCCTGCTTCAAAGATTGGACTTCAGAGACAGCTCTTTAAACTGCAGATATTCCGTGTCAGAATTTCTGACACAGATTTGAATAGGCCAAGGCAAGGGTATGATGTAATGATGATGTAATGGAGATGGAAAGTTCTAGATTGAGAAATGAGAGAGGCTGAGTAAGCATGACGCAATGTAGCAATGTAAAGCTGAGAGACACAGTTTAAATTAACAGCACTATAAAATGAGTAAATACTTTATCGCTACAAAAGATCAATCTTGTCATTGTCTACTGCAATCTTTCTCCATAGCTTTGGGCATAAGAGGAGCAAGTAGTTAAAAAAGGGAATTCTAAAGACTCTTTAACAGTGTGACTACTGGGGAACGTTCCCTAGTAGGCCCAATGCTTTCCCCAGTAGTGAACACCAAAATCACAGAATTTCCCCAGTAGTTGGGGCCCTTTCATCTCTCACTTACCGACATATTTATTTTTTGAAAATCAACTTTTAAATCAAGTTTATTGAATTTATAAACTAAACTCAAGATGTGAACGGTTTCGAAAATTGAAAGATAATAAAAAACCGCCTTTACGCAAACAAACAGAATTTGTTTTTACTCCCAAATGCCTTTGGTGTTTTATTTGGTATTGTTTATAACATCAGGCCCCTCCTCCCCTCTGTTGTTCTGTACTTTTTCCATTCAGGTTTTTTGTCCTGTCGTGTGAAAGTAAAACAGATGTTGCGGATGTCCGCTTTCATCCACCCCCTTGTGTAATTCCTTTGTCTCAATCGAACCTATGTCGTCATTCTGACGCTTTTTGTTTAAATGTGTGATCATTGACAGAACATCTATATATGTATATCAAGGTCAAGGAAAAGTTTAGAAATATTCATTCGCAATTGATTTTCGCAATTGCAACGAAGAACAAAATGAAACAAAAAAAGAAGTGTGGAAATGATAAAAAAACGAAAACAAGAAGAAAGCGTTAGTTGCAGCAGCATTGGCCCCAGGACAGAAATCATTGGTTGAAATGTTTTCCCAACAAACTGTGAAACCCTCATCGTCGATATCCAAGGAATCAAATGGGGCCCCTGAAGTTGTGCACGTTGGGGAAGAAAAATTTGCTTCCAGTTCGAAAGAAAAGAATGAGCAAAATGACAAACAAAACGAAATCAAGCAGCCTGAAAGCAAAGAAGGTGACGCGAATTCGATGTGGTACAAAGGGAAGAAACTTGACTCAAGCTGGTTAATTTTGTCAGAATGCTGTCTCAAAATTCATACAGAAATGAAAAACAAGAAGCGACACCAGGTAATGACATGTGAGTTGTGTAAGAAATACGAGGAACAGGTTGTAAAATTCTCTGTCAATGGACGCCTGCCTATGGCATCTGGAGTACGAATTGACGGGAAAGAAAAACTGAAATGGGTTATAGATCAATCAGAGTCGCCTTCGCACAATGAATCCAAAAGGTTGAAGGAGCACGAAGATACATGGAGGAGTATGTCAACAGATCATCCATGGGTGAGGATGATTGAAAAACACAAGAAAGAAACTTTGGAATTTCTTCTTAGATTGGCTGTGGATGTCTACAATGACTGCAGAGCCGAAACACTAAGTGCAAGAAGTTGGCCATCAAGATCTCTTTCTTTCGAGCATAGCAATAATTTAATGCGAGTTTTTCAATCAGAAGGGTGGGATGCTGATTTTGTTGGTTTCGAGAAGTCAAGCTTTTATCATTACAGAGGTCCCGTCACCTATCCTGAAATGAGAAATATTGTTGTTAAATTTGAAATGGAAAAAGTTGCAGCTGAATTGAAAAACTGCATTTGTTATTCCTTACAAATTGATGGAAGTTCTGATAGACAGCAAATTGACTCCAAGTTCATAAGAGCAAGGTATGTGCCAATCAATTAAGTCTGCGTTAAAACTGTATTTCTTGGAGTTGCAAGCAGTGACAGGGATGGTGCTGCTGGAATGTTAGACTCACTGATCAGTTGTTTGGAATCGGTGAACGTAGATACAGAAAAACTGGTTGGCGTTACGACTAATGGGGAAAGTGCCAATACAGGAAAGAAGGGAGGTCTCTGGAAATTGCTGAAAGATCATGTTGGCAGGGACATTCTGACTGCTTTGTGTGTATGTCATAGATCAGATTTGGCTCTCGAATCTTTGCAAGCAGAAGTGCCTGAGCTGCCGATCTGGTTGAGCAATTTGCTAGCTTTGGTCAACTTTTTTAGAACATCTCCACGAAGAACGAAAATACTTCATCAAGAAGATGAACGTTGCTTGACGTTCCCAAAACATTTTGAGGTTAGATTTGCGCAGCACACACTTAATCTGATCAGGGCTGTTTTGCATAATCTTAAGGCAGCTACGAAAGTGTGGGAGAAAAGGGTAAGTGGTGAAATCGCATCAGATAAAAAAGAATGTGCCATGGCACGTGGTTTTATGCAAAAATGGAATGTTACTTTGCATCAACTATGGCTGACAACACTTATGTACGATTTGTGCAAGATATTTGAAAGGCTTCAAAAGATATTTCAAAAATCATACCTCATACTACCAGACGTCATAACAGCAAGGAACTCCAGTGTCGAAAACCTCAAGATTATGGATCAAATGCCTATTCCAGGTGGTAAAGAAGAAGATCATTTAAGGAAATTGCAAGAAGACAGCGCAAATAACGAAGCAGAGCAATGTAGGAGAAAAACGGGAAATCATTTCGTCACTGCGATGAGAAGAGACAACAAGGAACACGGGAACTGTGTAGGCCCTTAAATTGAGAAAAATGATGCAAGCCAGTCAAGGCATCATGAAAAAGTTTCTGGCATCTTTTTTAACAATGACCCCTCACAGCATGGCGACTGAAAGAGTAGTCTCGCATTACAACAACATCAAAAGTGTGAAACGATCATCCTTGCATCAAGAGACGATCAATGGTGTAATGAACATATCTCTAAATGGGATAGGCATTGCCTATTATGATCCAAGACCGGCTGTGTTCACATTTTTAAAGAAGAAAGACAGGCGAAATGCACAGCTTTGCAGTGAGCTTTACAAACAAAGAGATTTTGTCAAAAAGTTTTTTCAAAGTGACAATGGCTGTCTTTAGTTTACTATTATATGTTTGTGCTGTGGCTAAAAACTTGTAACTACGAAAATTCATTAATTAAAACAGTGTGTTTTACAGCAGCATATACCTGTGTGCTTCTTTTGGCTATTACACTTTTGGGCCCTTTTTGCAAATTTTCCCCAGTAGTTGAAATTCCTTAAAAAATGCCCTGCTAAAGAGGATAGTCGTTTTTATTATTTTATTTTTATATTTTGTACTTGCGCATGGAGAAAAGGAAGAGGAGAAGGACGAATTTGATGCAGTTTGCTGCGAAGAACCAAAGACAGTCTGTTCGATCATGGCAAAGTTTGCACAGAAGGATTATTGAAAGCAATAGGAAAATTCTCAAGTGATTCTGTTCTTGCTTCCCACCTTATATGCTTTGAATTTTCGCCGGAGAGACAGGTAATAATCGCTTAGATCATGTTACTTTTGCCTTGGCCTAGACCTGATCCATCATGTATTGACTGGAACACCTTTTCCAAGGCATTATTAAGTCAACTATTGTTATGTCAGTGTGCATTACCTGTAGTGTACAGTTTGGAATAGACCTTGATCTTGACCTAACCTGTTTCTTATGCCTTACCCAAAATTGTGAAAAATGAACAAACTTCATGTGGGTAAACCTTTATTTTTAGGTACAGATATTGTGCTGCTGGCTCAGATAACAAAAGAGATGATGCAAAGCACAGAAAGAACAAGATTAAAAATGAAGCTTGTGAGTTGCCCATGTTTTAGAACCAAATCTAAATGAAAAAGATTGATGGAATAGATGAATCCTGTTAAAATTTATTAAAGATAATGTGCTTTTATTGTTGGAAATTGTTGTCACAATCATGTAAGTAAAATGAAAAATTTTGCAATTTTTAAATGTAAATTTCCAACCAGAATAGAAATGTCACTTAGATCATAACTTTGTTGTTCAAGTAATGTGTTTCTTAATTCATAGTTTTATCTTTGCTACAGGGAACAGGAGGTGTTTAACACCTAAAAAATAAATCAAACAAGAACCAAGGACTCATCAAAGTCCTATCTTGACCAGAGATCAGAAAATTGCTTCTGATGATACACTTATTGTGGATATTGAGAACATTTCTGTTTCCATTGACAAGACAGGAAATGTGACAATTTTGAACTCTGACTCAGAAAGTGATGATGAATCTGATGCAATTTCAATGAGTAGCACAGTATCTGGAGACATTGCTTCATTTGAAGATGACAAAAAGTTGTATTTTTTTATGATTTATAGACCGGTTCATGATGTTAGTTGCATCATGGGTAATCAGGGCAAGAAAAAAATATTACGTAGGCCTTCTTAATATAACAGTGCCATTTTCATCCAAGCAGCGAAGAATAATGACAATTTTGCAATTATCATGCCTAACTATCGGTGTGCGTTGGTTGTTGTGACAACAATTCAAGGTATCTAGAGAAATGTATCAAACGTGGCCATGTTGAGGGACCATTGAAATGGCACAACATTCCAAAAGATCCTGAAATGAGAGCTCGATGGACTAAGCGGATTGCGGAATAGTTAAAGAATTTTGTACCTTCTGATAACAAGGTAGTTTGCTCCAATCATTTTGAGTACGAGAAACCAACATTCTCCCCTCCTGTGCCCACAAAGTTTTTGAAAGAGAGCGATAAATAAAAGGCATCTCCAAAGAAACAAAGAAAAATTATGAAACATGACGCTCCAGGGCCTTGGAAATCCAAATGCCCAAATGTAAAAGAAGGGTGGTGTTCAATGCGCACTCATCAATCCAATGCGCACTCATCAATCCAATGCGCACTCATCAATCCACTAGCATACCATTCCCTCACCTTTTCTGCCATAACCAGGGAACATGATGCTACACAATTTACAGGAATGTCTTGCATAGAGTTTCAAATTGTTTTCAAACACTTACAAGAAAAGGCAAATGTCATGCATTATTGGAAAGGACCTTTGGATGCTCCAAAGAAAACTTCTGAGCTACGAAAATACGCCCAGCAAAGAGCATTGACACTAAAACAGGAATTTCTTTTATGTATGATGAAGTTAAAACTTGGACTTTTTTGTATGACATTGCATTTAGATTTGCTGTCTCTGAAAGTACAGCTAGTTCAGTTTTTACAACCTGGATCAAGCTAATGGCCAACGAACTGAAGTGGATGATTTGTTTTCCTGACAGAAGAATGATTACAAGAAACTTGCCATCCATGTTTAGAAAATATTACCCTAAAGTGAGAGTAATTATTGACTGCACAGGAATGTTTATTGAGACACCATCAAGTCTGGAAGTGGCAGCAATGTGCTGGTCTAATTACAAACAGCACTTTACAGTAAAGTTTCTGATTGGCATCACACCCAATGGTTTTATTTCATTTCTTTCAGACACTTATGGTGGAAGAGCTAGTGATGTTCATATAGTGAATGACTGTGGTTTCTGTGAAAGCCTGCAGCCATATGACTAAGTTATGGCGTTTGGAAAATAACACTGCTATCTCCTCCATCCATCTCCATTGAAACAGCACCAAGATTTGGCATTCATTTAATCAAGAAGATTTTCTCCAAATGTTCAACTAGTAACAATTGATTACTGAAAAGGCTGAGAGTTTGGTTTGGTTGCATAAAATGATCCTGCTCGCTGATTTTATGCCCAAAAATGGCCTTTCGTGCCTGTCACTTCTCCACATAGTGCAACAACATTAGGGCTGAAAACCCTGTCATTGCCATAAAATGTTCTGGAGATTAACATGATAGTGGCTGCTTGGCAATAAGCTATTCCTTGCATTTTACTTACAGAGAATCACCTCCCAGCTCGTGGATCTAGGCATAGCAGCGCCGCCATCGATGCCTCGCATTCGCGTTCATGAAATAACACAGGATGGTTCTGATGATTATAATGATGGTCATGCCCTCTCGAAATGGCATGACTAGCCTTTGTTCTCTCCTGCGTCACTCCTATTGTTAGGCATGACCAAACATAGGGAACCAGCGTTGTGGGCATGACTAAAACACAGGGTTTGGTCATGCTCATAGTTATGGGCATGACTAAATTGGAAACCCTCTGTTTTAGTCATGTCCGACAATAGAAGAGCGCTTTCGGAGGGCTCCATATTGTTGCGTGGAACCATAGGGCTCCAAAGGCCTGAGCTATTTCATCAGGAGAATACGACTGAGCTATTTCATCAGGAGAATACGACTTTATTCTTACGAAAATATAATTTTTTGAAAAATGTTATCTCTGGAAATAGATGGTCATGCCCGGCATGACAAGCATGACCGCTAGCTACGCCACTGGGTACATCCTCATCTACTGGTGGTGCAAAACTGATATTCATAACAGCATCTGGATGTTCTGTCGTACTGAGTGATTCTTTTTCTCCAATTGTAATAACCCTCTGAGCAGATGGTCTTGGGTCAAATTCTTGCTTAGCTATATTATTGAGGGAATAGTTTGGTACAGGATTGTGGCTTTTGTGAGCCTGAAAGTCAATATCCTTTTTTGGGTTCAATTTCTCGGGAACTTCTATTCCAAATACAAGCTTGATCTGTGCAGGATGGGTCTGTCAAGCCTGTTTCATTGGCAAATTCAACTTTGTAGAGCAGTGCAATAACATGGTTGCAGCATTTGCTGTAACCAGCAGTGCAGCTGCAGTATGCACAAAGAATCTCACCAGAAGGCTTGCAAACAACCCAAGCCTTGTGTGGTTGCCCTCTAACACTTTGAGATGGAGTAACTTCACCAAATAATATTCAGAAATGGACTTCGAAAAAATTTGGTGAACAAAACCACTTTTATAAAACGAGTAAGCCTTTCTGATCTTGTATTGACCAATATAATCAGTTGAAAAAGCTTTCATATTTAAAATATAATTGAATATATGTCCAAGATTTATTTTGGGCCTTTTTGTCAGATCTTCAGACCAGTCAACCATTTCAAATGGGTCTTGTTGCATGCCATACTGCTGTAACAGTTTTTGGTGATCGGTTTGCAAGGTTTTTGCAATATGTTCTGCTGACTCTTTCTCAGGTACTTGTTGCTCAAAAGCGACTAAAGCGAGAGCAGCTAAATCTGAGTGAGTACCGCCTATTTGCAGGGCACTTTGCTGCAAATAAAACTTCAATTCTTCAGCACTCAAGTCAATGAAGTCTTTGAGGTGTTTGGCAGCCATTGTCAACGTCAAAACATGTACCAAACAAAGCAATTTCTAGCAAGGCTCACCTCGAAATCTGTCAAGATCCTTCTTTTTTTCACTGCTTAGATTGAATATGACTTTTATATCAAGTCCTGCAACTTATTCTAAAGGAACTGGAAACTTTTGATATTGTCGAGCTTACAAAACAGTAGATCACACATGACACATTGCCGCCATATTAAATTTTCTTGCCCTGATTACCCATAAAGCAACTGACGTTGTGAACCGGTCTTTTTATGCATATGTTTTATTTTGATTTGAATGGTGTAGAGATAAAGAAGCAATTTATTTTGTTTGTGAGACAAAAGTTTTCTTTATAAAATTCTTCATTTGAAAGATAATGGTCATCATTTCAATGAAAGGTCAATCTGCTTGCTGTTGCAAAATCAAGCTAAAGAACTATCAAATGTTTTCTTGATAAAATATTGAGGTCAGAAATCCTTATTTCTAGAAACAAATACTCGAAGATTCAGAAGTTTTGTAAGTTTGCTAGGATCAACCTGTTTTGCAAGAGTATTTTTACCAAATATCAGTCAAAGTACATGGTGGCAGTTACGGAAGAATGGTGGAAATGTTTGACAGATGAAATCAAGTCAAATATAAAGGAGCCATGCAAACTTGCTGGAGACGGTCAGTGTGATTCTTCTGTGTTTTTTGCAAAATACTTGTCGTATTATCTTCAGGATATAGATACAGACCTTATTGTACATGCAGAAGTACTTGATAAGCGAATGACAGGTGCTAATTCTACAGCTATGCAGCGAGTAGCTCTAAATAAGTCACTGCAAAAACTAAAAAATGATATCCCCATAAAGGAGCTGGCAACTGATGCATCATCAACTGTTATTAAAGATATGAGTAAGTACAGCAAATTACCTAGAAGAGAGTGGTTTTAAGCTTTGGGATTTAATACAGTGTTAATGTAAAGACATCTCGCAAAGCTAAAAAAAACATTGAAACATAAATGCTTTTTTCAAACCAATTTAGTCTGTCCAGCAGCTAAAACTGGCTTTAGATGATAGCCAATAAAAGGCAAAACAAACAATAAATTAAGAGTTGTTCTTTGAATTAATTTGCAGGAAAAAATCATCAAGAGATCAACTATACTCTAGAGATTTGGCATAAAACAAAGAATCTGAGAAAAGCACTCCTGAAGGTAAATTCCTAATGTGTCAAAAAATTTTAACATATTATTGGGTGAGGTGCTTCAATTTTATCACCACAAAGCCCTCATATCAGGCTCCTATCAGGTGCGGTGTTAGCTGGTGTGGTGTTAGGGTTTTAAACAAATCAAGAAAAATCTGTTTTTGTAGAACTTTAACTCCTTTGATACATGCTGGGTGTTCAAAATCTTTGTGGTCCTTCTTTGACAGGTTAGCAAAAAAAGGTCACTTCATAAAATAAGGCTATGGGCTCATGAAATAGTCAACCACTTTGCCGATCTTGCAATCCAGGTTGTGACCTTACAGACATGGAAGCACTGGAAAAGTTGAATGTATGTTTCAAAGCAGATTTTATCACCTCTTTATATTGTTCTGGTTTCTGATTGTTTGCTTGATTATATCTGTCTCAAGTTGATTGCCAAGAGGTGTCTTCATAAATTAATTTTTGACTCAGTGGATTTTTTTAGTGGATTTTTTTAATGAGATCTTATGTAGAATAGACTTCATTTTCAAAATAATGGGTGCAAGAGACAGATCAACAAATATAACTGGTGTATAACACATAAATAAGGAGAAAGGTTGGTGTCATGGGCCACACCCATTTCCTTTCCTTTTCTGTGGCAGCTAGCACTGTCACATTGTAATTTGAAAGAGACACAAGTTTTAATTGTCTGTCTTATCATACTTTTCTTCCTGTAACAAACAAACAAACAAACAACAGTTGGTGGTAATAATCTTTGGTAAAAGAATAAATAACAGAAGTGTCTATCTCCCTTTGGTGTAGAATTTTAACTTAATTCTTCAGTTCAAACTTATTACTTTTTACATTAAATTCAGTTTTATCTCTTTCAAAATAACCTATTGTTGTTGCATTGTTTTATCTGTTAGAGTGACTGGCTTGGAGTTCTTCACCACGTATGCAATGGGCATGAATGGGTAGGGGGTGCTTGCAAACATCAAATAATTGGTGATGATCATGAATTGCCATGGTTCAAAGAGACAAATCGTGATTACAAGGCACTGCAACAAATTGTTTTGGATCCAAAATTTTTAAATTCATTGGAATAGTATACAAAGTTTCGTCACACAGGAAAGCTAGCGTGTATCAACAACCTATCTCTTGCTTATGCATCCAAACGAATTGCTTTTGCGTTAAATATTCCAAACTATTATTCAAATTGACATCATTAACAAGAACAATTAAAAAATGATGCTCCTGTTAAAAGTAGAAAATAATGGCTGAATATATAACTGTTTTGTAATTCTGGCTGTACATGGTGAGTAACTTAACATTAATAGCTAAATTTCCTCATCTAAAACTGTGGTTTTATTTCCTTCTAGTTTTGGCAAACAGGATTTTTCCTCAAATTATGTGTTTATCTATTCAGATTTGATGTTTTCAAAGCAAGAAAATGCCTAGCAGCAATTGACAGGAACATTCTCTTAAACAGATCACCAGCTGTAAATAAGAAAACGGGGAAATTTCTTGTAACAAGAAAATACAATCCAAGAACAAATAACTGGACAATCAAGAAGCTGTTCCATGAAAAGGACTATCCTTATGTCCCAATGATGATCGCCAAGATTCTAAGAAAACGAATTTCAGAATATGGAGAGTTAAATAAAAGTAAAATTTCTGAAGGAAAGTGACCTAAGAAAGATTGCTGCCACAATTGGAAAATCTACTCCAGAGCCTACTGCTGAAATTGCAAAACGATATGTTAGCAGGCTTGACTTTGCAAAAAAATAGATTATGTCAGGGGCAGCTGGTAGTAAATTTTTTTTGGTATTACTTTTTCAAACGTATGGAAGATGCTCCAAAAAGGAAAATTAACAATTTTAAAGGAGTTTCAAACCTCAAGCAACGAAAGCCTGAAATACACGATCAGTTTTTATCAGTTTTTTGACTGACAGTTTTCAGTTTTTCAAAAACTGACGTCCTACATACACGATCAGTTTTTATCAGTTTTCTGACTGACAGTCTTCAGTTTCACAAAAACCGATGTCCTCACACGATCAATTTTCTTCCGTTTGGGAACGAGTTCACGTTTTGATTAGATCGGCTCTTTTTTACAATGGAGCTTGATCAAGAAACAACTGCAGTTCTTCTGGCTGCGGCTCTGGTCGTCAAAAAAGGCGAAAATATCGTAAAAAGAAAACAAGGTCTGTTTGGGTAAAGCCATGGTTGAGTAGGAGGTTTGGTGTTTTACCTTGGTGTTTACGACACTCTTCTACAAGAGTTAAGATCGGAGGATGAAGGAGAATATAGAAAATTTTTGAGAATGATGCCTGAAAATTTTGACGAGTTGTTGGAGCTAATCAAGGCGGACATTTCAAAATACGACACAAATATGCGCGATTCTATACCTGCAAATATTCAATTAGCGAGAGCTATAGTGAATTGCAGTATCAATTCAGAATCCATTCAAGCACGTTGGGAGAGTTCATTCCGTTGGTTTGCGAAGCAATTCACAAGAGGTTGAGAGATAAATACATGAAAGTATGTAATAATCAATATTTTTTTAAATATTTCTCATTGTTATTAATCTAATTATTCATACATCATACTTGAGGGGCTTTTCGACTGCATTGCTTGACTGGGATAACTATATGTTGGGGATTGGGGTGACTGACACACTGGATGAACATAGCTCATTTGGTTTACAGGAAAAGATTGATTATTAAATATTGGCAATCTATTCTGAGCTGAAGATAACATTTGCTCCCGAGACAACGCCCCACATCGTGCTTGAAAAAGAATTTCTTGTATTTTTAATTTAGCGTACTCCTTTGTCTGCTCATCATTAATCTTTTTTAGGGAGCATGCAACATTTTTTCCAAATATATCATCCCCGTCTTCTGGTGTCGCCACTTTTGATTGAAGGGCCGATAACGCTTGGTCTATCAGCAAATCTTCTTTTGCTACCTTTACCATTCTCTTTTGCCTTTTTGCAAGAGGCCTTTTCGTCGATTGCTTCCTCAAAGTGTTGTCAGAATCCTCCAACAAATCCACATTGAGATTTTCTCTTTCTTTTTCGTAAGGGCAGCTATCTTCATCAGTATCAGCCGCAGCGCAATCATTGTCCTAAGAAACATATAACAACATTTACCTTTCAGACACCATCAACAGAAGAGGAATGGTTAAAAGTGGCTCAGTTGTTTGAAACACAGTGGAACTTTCCAAATTGTCTAGGAGCCTTGGATGGCAAGCATATTGTTGTCAGGCAACCACGAAATTCTGGGTCTTATTTCTTTAATTACAAGGGGACTTTCAGCCTGGTTTTATTAGCACTCGTAGATGCAAATTACCAATTCATTTACATAGACGTTGGGTGCAATGGAAGAATTAGTGATGGAGGCGTTTTTCGGAATTGCTCACTGGATACTTCCCTAGAAAATAACATTCTAAATATCCCCGGAGATAGAAAAATTGTGGAACAAATGCAAGCGCTACCTTTCGTGATTGTTGCAGATGACGCTTTCCCTTTACGAAATGATTTAATGAAGCCCTATCCCCTGCGCAATCTATCCAAGGAAAAAAGAGCATTTAACTATCAACTCAGTCGAGCAAGGCGTGTAGTTGAGAATGCTTTCGGGATTCTTGCGAATAGATTTCGAGTTTTTTTATCACTAATGCTTTTATCACCAGAAAATGTTGAAAAAGTAGTTTTGGCAAGTTGCGCACTCCATAATTTTCTACGTGAGAAGTCACCTTTGCGATACACACCCCCAGAAATTTTTGATGGTGAAGCTCAGGAGACTGGAAGAATTATTCCTGGCAGCTGGCGGTCAAATGGCGAAAACAAAGTATTTCATTCAGTTAATTTCAGTGGAAGTAATAACTATAATCGACAGAGCAAGGATATACGAGATCGCTTTTGTGAATACTTTATCACGGATGGTAAAGTCCCATGGCAAGATAAATTCAGCTAACTGACATATAAACTTAAGTACTTACCAACGAAGATATTGTTTTTCTTGGCTTGATTATGTCTCTTATAAAAAGCATTGACTTGAAGTATGGCCACTTGGATTTGTAAATCTCGTCTCTTCCTGCCCCACTGCGTTGATCTTTACTTTTGTTTAATTCTTTCGAAAAGTAAGTTCGCAGAGTGTTGATTTTTGATTTTACCTCTGTCTCTATAAAGAAATGGATAATTTAAATCCAGATACTGTTTTGAGCTAGCAAAAACAGATTTGGTAGTATTGGTTTCCTAGGACCGTGGAGTATATTATAGATTGAGGGGGCTAAAACGATTTTTGTAGAGATAAACATGCTTAAAACCGCTTAAAACCAAGAGCAAGATGACTTTTTCTATGGATTTAAGTAAATTTTGGAAATTATTGGAGGGAATAAAGCCCCCTCGACCCCCTCCTCGCTTTCGCGGTCCCTGTCGATCTTCAACAGAAGATACTCACCTGATAGTTCAAATTTTTCTGCTAACTTTTTCAAACTATTTGCCTTCTCGAACCTGTTCTTGTAAATATCTGAAGTAACATCCCATAATGACTTTTCTTCCTTCCACGCTTCTATGAATTCATCTGTATTGAAAACTTTCTTCGCCATCTTTAAATCGCACTTATCCACGCTGCTCTAAAAACTTGGCATCTTGCGCAAGGGGATTAGAGGGGCGCCAGCTTTAAACAATGAAGTCTACATAGATGAATAGAAATCCCATCAGTTAAAAAACTGACGAAGTTGGACGTGTTCAACTTTTTCAGTCAACAACTGAAGGTCATTAATGCATCAGTTTTATCAGTTTTTGCTAAATACACGATCAGTTTTTGACTGAAAACTGAAAACTGTCAGTTGAAAACTGTCAGTTGAAAACTGATCGTGTATTTCAGGCTTTAGAATCTGAGCGAATGCTGAAAGTTTCTAAGTTAATTGGCAAATTTAGTGCTGTATCTCCTAGAAGATGAATGCAGATACTTCCTTGCTAGCATATCAAAAAGAAGTCTATGAAGTGCCTGATTTCCTGTTAGTCTTTTTAAACAAACTGGAGAGCTGTAACTTTTGTCTGAAGGGCTTGCAAGCCGTGGTTCGTCGTGAAAAATATTTGGCGGCCCCTTCTTCTGAGCCACCATGTGGGCTCATTATTAGAATGGTGATTGTAATAACGGAAACCGCTTTGTGAAATTCCTCTGAACACATTAAAGGTTCAGTTCAGTTCATCATTCGACTGAAATTGAAAATTTATTCAATTGATTTGATTGAAAGTGGGCTTGTTTCTTGCAGATCTGGCTGATAGATTTTGTATTTCTAAAGGCCATGCTTCAAAAATATTTACAACATGGATAAATTTTACCCTTCAACAAGGATTATACTGGACTGTATAGAAATCTTTACAGAGGTTCCTTCTTCCATGGTAACACAGTCACAGACATGGTCTGAGTACAAGCACCATAATACTGGAAAAGTCTTATTGGTGTATCTCCTAATGGGGCTATCATATTTGTCTCAAAGCTCTGGTCTGAGAAAGTTTCGGACCAAGAGATAACTCTGAAATCTGGAGTACTTTTTCTCTTGGAACCTGGAGATAACATAATGGCTGACAGAGGATTTAATATTTGTGATATCTTGCCATGTGGAGTTTCTTTATACATTTCCCCTTTCAAAGGTTCACGCAGCCAACTAACTCCACAAGAAGCTGAAGAAACAGCAAATATCGCAGCTGTTTGAATACATGTTGAAAGAGCCATTGGAAGGGTTAAGAACTACCACATTCTGGATGGAGTATTACCCCTCAGTTTATCTCCTGTTGCCAACCAGATTTTTACTGTTTGCTGCTACGTTACCAACATCTTGCCTTTTTTAGTAAAGCCAGCAAAATATTAAGGATTAATAAACACATTTCTGTATTATTTTGTATGAAACTTTTTTTAACAAGCTAGTATTTAAACCAATGTTTGTATGGGGTCAGAATTCTTTAAAAACTTATTGGTAGATAGCATAAGTAATACGTTTTTAATAATACTGAATATATTTAAGGTCCATCAACATTTTAATTAAATATCATGTAAAGGATCCTTAAATTTACCTTATTATAATAACAAACCACAGGTCAACATGAAATGCCACTAGTAATCATGCTTATATAATAATATGGATCTGAGTTTGATCTTTATGCCATTGTAAGGTAACTGCATGTACAGCTCTATATGTATGGTAACTGCAGACAAATGTGTCACAATTAAGTCTTTAATGGGGCTTACCCAACTAATTTTGTGTAATGTTTATAATACCAAATGGGGGAGAGTGGAAATAGCAACCAATACTCTACAAATACAAGACATCTAAGCTAATCCCATTATGTAGATATAGAAGAGGAGAGTATATCATATTGATACACTTATGCTTACTTGTTTCTTCAATTGTTTCATGTACGAGGGGAGGGAAGCACTTTCAAATTGGCCAAACTATGTTAACAGAATTTCGATTAAGAATGTTTACAATACTAATATTATTCTAAGATGTACAATAAAAGATGATATGATAAATGGAAAAGGAAAATGAGTTCATGTCTTATCAATTTAGAGTCATTCTTTAGCATCATAATTTTCCCAGCCACCCTGCAAGTACAACTTTAAGCCACGTTTTACACGCTTTGTAAAGTATTCAGGCAAGATTGCACGACAATAGAAAAATTTCAATTTTGGCAAGACAGATCTCTCCACAAAGCTGTCATCATATGACACCGACTGGATAAATAGAGGCTCATTGCTGCCAAACCAGACAACCAAATCAATTCTCTTTAAGCCAGTGCAATACATCTGGCCCTGAATCTGGTAGAAGTAAGGATGACTTCTTTTCAATGAAACAACTTTTCCTTTCTTTTAAAATATTTTGTTATCCTCCAAAGCTGAGGAAAGAAAAGACTTTGAATATGGACACTTGATTTCCAAGCCCCACTTCTCTTCATTAAAATGAACCAGTCCATCAAGGGAAGCACCAAGAAATGAAAACTTGCGCGAAATTGTCAATCCAGTCTCTTCAACCCAAATACCTTGAAATCCGTTCTCAGACATTGTTTGCAAATATAAAGACCTTGCAAAGCTCTCTGAAGTTTTCATTCTCATTTTTGTTCCTTTTCATCATAATAACATGGGAACTTTTTAATAATAGCTTCATGTTTCATGATGTCAATGACATTTTTCTTTTCTTGGAGCTTCTGTATCAAAACTTCTGCGAACTTGATGTAATTTGTCATCGCCATATATTTGAATGGAACCACCAAACTAATCTCTCTTCTCCTTTCCTTTCAAAAATAACCTTGAAGCAAGATGGCGGGATGGATGTGTTATGCCACAGGGAGTATCTTTTTCTTTTTACCAAAGTTTTTCTCGACTTAGCAGTAAGCAGGAGTAAAGACGGAGGTCTTGTTGTTTTTTACCAAATAACAATCAGTTCATTCTATTCGATTTATGCACACAGAAAAGTTTTTCATCACTTTTTAATCTTGCTTCGGTTTAGGCCTAAACGAGCTAGGCCTATTTTATTTTATTGTTGCAGTCTAGATCAAGTTGTGCAAGTGATGGGTGACGAAGAAATTTTAACCTTGGGCGTCGTTAAGGCACTCATGGAAACCCAAGCAAATGCTTTCAAAAGCACGTTCAAGATGATGACTGAGGACATTAAACATGATATAAAATCTGTCCAATCAGATATCAATGACCTCCGTGAAAGTTTGACTTTCTCACGGTGGAACATAGAGAACCAAGAAAAGAATCGATCAGACATTGAAAAATGGGGGGTAGGTCCAAATCTCTCAGCCAACCTAAGCATGTGCTGCAAAGAGCGGGTGCTCGTATTTGCATACCTAATGTTGATGAGGCGTGCACCTGAGTCTACCTGACAGCAATGATTGCCTCAAGAGTGAGGTCCGGGAACAGCCCATAAGCACATATTGCAGCCAGGAGTAGCAACAATTGCTTGTTACTCTCTTGCCTCTTCTGAAACACCCTTTTGCCTAAGCAAAGTGCAACTTCATCTCTAGACGGTCCCAACAGGAGGATGAGTGCACAAGAAACCTACCCACTTGCCAAAACATCTTATTTTGGACAGCATGGGAGTAGTTCAACGCAGCTATGAGCACGTCCAACTCAGTGTGTTTTCTTCATCCCATGAGTGATTGGAGAGGTCAATCCCTTCCGCACTCAGGATAACTTCCGCACACCCATAGTATGGTAGGTCCAATTGAAAAATATTGTCCTTAGAAAAAAGAGGAGGCAGTACATATGAATGTTATTGCCAACAAATGTTCCCACGTGCTTGCAATCACCATCAGGAAATGCTGAATGCGTCAACATATCCTCATACCTAGATTGGTTGCTGGAACGATGCCCAATAAAAGTTAAGCGTGCCCCCTTGCAGCCTGATGGCGTCATTTAAAACAAGCTTCAGATGGAGAACTTTGAATGGATTTCTCAATTCGCAGATTTGCAAGCAGTTGCTCTGATCCAACATCCTGACTGCTCTCATCAAGAGTAAAACTACCAATGAGGCCCCCAGTCTGTGTGATTTCGAGCTCCTTCTGCAAATCGTACAAAAAGTGAAATCTGCAAATCTGTGAAATTATTAATCGTACAAAAAGTTTATATTATATAGTGATCTAACCTTGGTTGAGTTAGAATTCTCTAGGCGGAAGAAAAGGGGCTAGTTTCGCAGCAATAGTTAGTAGCATATCATAAAGAAACATATTTTAACAACATCATTTATTTGCGGATCATCATTCTTAAACGTTTTCAACTATATTTTCAAATGATTACTGTGATCTAGAATTCTAATTTTATTGAACTCCATAATAAGAAAAGGAAGATATTTTGTTGTCTGTATTTGAACGGAGTGCTGTTTCCTTTGCTTAGGCTAATTGCTGTATACATTTAGGAAAAAAGCTCAGTACAAAAATCGTTATTAACTATTATAATGGTTTCAGTTTAACTACTTGCTGTCACAACGAGCTTGAAACGTTTAATACCTAGATTTACTAAATGTAGATCAACGATGTCATACTGACATTCTTTTAAAAAAATAACTTCAGTTGGCACAACTGAAAGAATTTATCGAGTTCATCAAAGCAACAGAACACTTTCCGTTTATAGACAGACAAGCAAATCAGGTTGTTATTGGGCATTTAATAGCTTTTTTACTTAGGAAGTAACGCAGCCAATTTTGTTGCATGACCCTTTTTGCATTTTTTCTTTTATCATATCATAGAAATGAAAATTTTCATTTTAGATTCACAAACTTCTGTTGAAAATGATGGAAAAAATTTGTTAGCAAATGACCACTGAAATACTTACATGCCTGAAAGAAAGAAAATGAAACTATTAATACCTGCATGTTTGAAATAGTCGTTGGAGTTACAAATGGAATTTGGAGTTGATTCTTACCATTGTGTAAAAAACGAGGTTCCTCTTGAAATCTGTACGAGAAATCTATTGAAGAAAACAAAAAATATTAGATATACATAATATAGAAACTTTGACAAAACTACTCAAGAAAATTTGACAAAACTGATTGGAAAGTAAGCACTCAAAGCAGCAACTAATTTAAAGCTATTTGTGAAAAGAGTATTTGTATATTATGGAATAAATTTCGTTATAACAGGGGCTAAGCAGCCTTAAATAAGGAAAGAGAGTAAAAAACTAGAGACTCACAAATAACGCTGCTGTTTGTATAGCAACTGACAATGCTGTTTTTGAGTGGGAAAACGCAAAGAAAATTTCCTATCAACTTGTTTGCTCGCATAGATGAACGTAAATATGAAAGTATGTCGTGGCAAAGCCAGAGAGCTTTGCAATATAATGTGACATACTTTCCAAAATGACGAGAAATACTTTCCAAAATAAACTTTTAAGTGGATAGTTCAACGTTTATTCCTTGGTCTTGAGAGAACTTCTGAAACAGTGTGAAAACAGACTCATCGTGAAATTTCTAATGAGAAAAGTTGAAAAACTTAGTTATCATGCCAAATATTATCTGCCCTGAGATTAAGTGTTTTACTTCTTCTTATCTAACTTTTTGCAAGGACAGGTTAAAGAGATGGAAGAAGGAAAATGAGGCCAGGGGCATCAGATGCTTCAGAGGGGTCGAAGGGGTATGAGTGTTCGAATTGAAATGTCAAAATTGCAATTACACTTGTAACTTTGTGTGAAATAAATAATCCATAAGGGTTTTTGACTATGACCTATTAAAGTGCCTATGAAATGAAATTTAAGTGATTGAAAAATTACATTTCCTGATAGAAAAAAATCAGTGAATCCAATCATGTATAATTTGATGTCTTTTATGCTCACAAAATGCAAAAAAAGTCAAAAAGATACTCCAAAAAAGAAGAAACGCATAGAAAGTGGACAAATTTCTTTTGAAGGCACAGGCCTAACTTCTCACCCACCTCCACTTCCCATCTATGTTCCACTCATTTCGCACCAACATCCTTTACAAGAAGATTAGACATAGGAATCAGCGATGGAGTGTATCTAAATTGGACACTTCATCCAGAGCTTTTCCAACCGAAGATACCGTCATTTCGACAGCCGAAGAAAAAGGACCAACAGTTACACCTCTCGAGCGGCGACAGGTTGGGCCCTTAAAATGTCATGGATTCTTAAAAGAATAAAACCAGATAGTTCGCTGTATGCACTTCTGCTGTTGCCAATTAACAAGTCCGCATGATGTTTGTTAGTATTATGTATTAAGGATATTGAAATATTTCAAATTAAACCAGCTAGCTGATGTGTTAAATGTAATTTCAGTCTGCAGCTATTCAGTGATTTTGGTAATTTTTTACAAAACCCGTTACTTTTATGTCATGAATCTTTTTCAAGTTATGGGAATGATTTTCCCTAATAATTTTAAACATTTATTCATTATCTTCCTCTACTGAAGCTTGTGCGAAGTTTGGTAAATGATCAGCTGCCACCAAGCCTAAATGAAGACCAAAACGAAGACCATTATGAACCAGTTGCCCATGAATGTCTTGAATGTGACGAGCTGAAACTAAAGCTTAGAAGGTGTCAGAGGAACTTAGGTAAAGCACGGTTGGCCAAGAAGAAATATAAAGAACAGTTGCTAAAGGTAAATTTTCCAAGATAAGATGTTGGCATTAGGATTCATGGAAATTTAGTAGAGGATGAGTGCTTTTATGAATGAAAAGTTTGTCAAATCTGTCCAAGTATGTGTTCAAAAGTTTTAAAATTAAAATGCTTAATCTTAAGTTTAGATTTTTGAAATTATAAAAGTAACTATAAATGTGTCAATTGTAAAACAAATCTTAATTTCTTATGTTTCTTTTTTCATGGAAGTTAAAACAACTAGGGTCCTGATTTTTGAAAAACCTTTTAAAAGAATCTTAATCCAATGCTTGAAATAGCATATGAAAACCACCTTTGAATACATTATTTACTTTTCAGCGTTGATATTGGTGTTGCTGTGGAAAATGAGCCAAATTTCATCGTCTTCTATTCCATGCTGTTGCAAATTTTCTCTTTTTTCTGTTTCCATTGCAAACCTGACGGACCAGCGATTGAAAAATGTTCAAAAATGGAACAATGGTGACTGTAATACAAAGCTGTAAGAAGTGTGGACGCTATTGTAAATGGCAAAGTCAGCCACTAACACTTGGCAAACATCCTGCAGAAAACATTCTGGTGTGTTTTGGATCGCTGGTTGAAGGAGCTTCGATAAGCAAAACCATATTGATTTTCAAGCACATCGGAATTTCAATCTAAAATATTCGTACCTACTTCCATCATCAAAGAAAATTTCTCTTCCCTACAATTTTAAAACACTGGCAGGCATATCAAGAAAAGCTGATAGAAGAGGCAAAAGCACAGAAAGACTTGACTTGGTCAGGAGATGGCAGATTTGATTATATGGGGCATTCAGCAAAGTACTGTGTCTATTCGATGTTTTGTCCTTCCATGATGAAGATAGTTCACTTTGAATTACTTCAGGTATTCACTTTCATTATGTTTACTGTGAGGTGTCATAAACAATGACATTAAAATAGAGTTAAATTTTTGGAGCATTTGAATATGTATATCTTATAAATATGGTGCTACAAGTACCACTATCTGTTGAAACTAGTCAGCAAACTCAGTGTTTTTCAGATGTTTACACATCTTCACACACAAGTTGGCTTTATATGTAAATAAGGCCAGATCCAACTTGGTTTGTCACATTCTTTTATAGTGTGTGCTGATGAGACTTTTGACACATTATTTGTGGTAGTTCTATGCAAAAAGAGATTGATATTATATGAATATTTTACTCATGAGCTATTAATACTATGTAATGAGCTGTTAGAACTTATTAAATATTTAGCTATTGCTTCATTGAAAACATGAGCTGTAATATCGGATTATATCATATTTATATTCTTTAAACATGTATACAAATTTATATTACAATATATTACATATTTATGCATACATATTTTAGTCAAACCAAGTTGGTAGTAGTACAGCTGCCGAGTTGGAATATGCAAAAAGGTGCTTCCAGAAACTCCTGGATTGTAATGTCCTCATTCCAGAATTTACGTCAGACAGACATGCTGGTATTGCAAAATGGCTGAGAGAACAACATCCCGGCATCACACATTATTTTGATCTATGGCACTTGGCAAGAAATGTTGTGAAAAAAGTTACAATGGGTGGAAAGAAAAAGGGTTGTGAATTTCTGTTGGAATGGGTTAAAGCCATTAGAAATCATTTGTACTGGTGGGCAACCTCAACTACTCCTGGTTTTGAGGACATGATAAAAGCAAAGTGGCTTTCTCTGATGCGGCATGTTGCAAATAAACACGATGGCCATCCAGATTTGCTGTTTCCAAAGTGTGCTCACGACACTCTGGAGTGCAGAGATTGGATAAAAATCGGCATGGATGTGTTTTTTGTAAAAAGACTATATTTTATGGCAGGTGGCCCATGTAAGATGTTTAAAGAATTATGAAAGTGTGAATTTCAATATTCCATATAAGGTTCGGATTAAAAGCTTGGTATTTTTAAGAAATTAATTTGTAAAGCTTTTGTAATATGAATTTCAGCTTTAAATCATCAAAGTATAGGCATATTTCTGTGTGAAGAACTTTTGGTCATAGATTCAATGCAAAATCTTTTTACAATCTTTCAGGGACTGTGGCTTATGACAAACTTTTTGTTATTGTGACCAACCCACAATTGGTAAAAGCTATTGGAAAACTTTCAGGGGATGCGCAAACAAGTTGCATTGAAGGTTTTCATTCTATGCTAAACCACTGGCACCCAAACATGATTGGATTCTTTTATACTGGTTCGGTTTGCAGGTAAATAAATTTCAAATTAGCTTATGTTGAAATAGAAATACATGATGCCCCTCTATCCTGCTGATTTCTTCTTTATTATCAAGCTGTGATTTCCAAGATCAACAAGTTTTGTTTGGTGCATTATACTTCTTCTGATTGTGAAAAGTATTAAATATTAAATATATGAAAAGTATTATTTGATTTTGCATAAAAAACTATATTTATATATAAATCTTTATTTTAGAACTATAACTGCAATTCTGTATTTCAATAAAAATATCAAACGAGAGAGGATGAAAACCAAAGATGTCTTACTTCCATGTTGTTTACCCAAAATACAAGTTTGGGGAGGAAATAGTTCGCGAGGTCTCAGTGCCTCCAACTTACGGTAAGTTTTATGCTATTTTAAATCAACCAATAATAGGAGCATACTGGTCCTCAAGAGACTGTGATAATAGTTAGTAAGTACAAGTGTAGCAATCTATCTAAAATTCAATCCAGTGGAACGAAAATGTACAAATTTTAAATGCTTTGTAATTGTCAACTTTCATTTGCAGTTTTCGTTGAAGACTTGAAAAATGTACTCTTTTCCACACCACTGGAGGATTTCCATGAAACAATATGACATCATGAATCATTGTTTCCCAAGCCCTTAAGCCACAGGTTTCAAGAAAGGCTGACTCAAAAAGCTGCAGTTGACAAGTGGAAGGCTAAGAAAAGGACAGTCGCTGAGTGCTTTCCACCAGGTAGATATTTATATAAAAATAAATATATAACTAAACATATAATAATTTCCTTTTATATCATAGATGAAATAAACATATTAAAAATTCCTACTAAATTAGTCACAATAACCCTCATGTTTTTTTTAGTGAATGAACAGTTGAAAATGCAAGAAACTAGAAAGGCACAGAAGCAAGTAAGCGAGAAGACAAATGCACAACAACAAAAGAGGGCACCATGTTGCAGAAAATGCAATTTGCCAATGAAAGGCAATCATGTATCTTTAGTTTCATTGGAGGATAACAATATCCCTTTGCATTTTGAAATGTCACCACATATCTTTCAAAATATATTTCTGTACTTGTTATTTTGCAATCAAAATTTGGCCTCAAAACACTTAACCAAAAACCAATATGAAAGAATTTTTATATTTCAAGTGAAAGGAAAAAATTTCTGATTGAATGTTTTGAGATTCTCAGTGTATCAATTTTTCTTCATAAGAAGAGGGTTAATCACGCTCCTCTGCTGTAGCATATCCTCTTAATGAAGTAGTCGGGAACCGAGACCTGATTTCTTCATAAATGCAGGCAGTCAGTGGTCTTGTGTTGTCCAATCCATAGGTCCAAAGATCCACCTTACCAGCCACCTATAGGCAACAGCTCATCTGAAAATAAAAGCAAACTTCTTATTCTGCAAGCACATGCCATTATAATATATATGCATTGAAAATGGGGATTTGGCATAGAGATTTGAAGCTAGCAAAACTGAAAGATAAGTTGTAATCCGATTTTCCTAAAAAATTATTTTGCAAAGTATATAAACCATATATTTATATATATAAATATATACCATTCACCATATATTTATTAGGGTGATCAACAATATGATTTGGCAGATAAAACAATCATATACACAATCAAATACAATTGTGAAGGTAACAATTGCTTTCTTGTGTCACGATGCTGAAATTGGAAGTTTCATTATAGAATTTTTCTATTGAAAGTTACTGGTCAATACATCAGCATAAGCCTCCGATCAACTGCTAAAATTTTTGTATTGAACCTATTCAGTTATGATAATAAATTGTTATTTCAGTTACAACTAATTTCTCAAGAATAATGATAAAAAGGTATTCTAAATTCTTATGTATGAAAATTTGCTCATTGAAATATATAACAATGTTTTTGAAATGTTACTTACTCATTTTCTGTTTGGTTTCCTCTGCACCTGTATCCCCGCCCTTGTCTGTCTTTTAGCAGTGGTCCAATCTGCTTCAGAGCAATTCTGTTTGACAGAGCGATATACTCATCGTGTAGTGTCACACATTTTATCCTATCGACTGACCCATCAAACGTTAACTTTCCAAATACTGGATGAACTTCCCAGCAACATCTATACTCCCTTGCACCTACCAGATTTTGAACACTGCACTTTCCACATTTACACCTGTAACATTGAACAAATTTATAAATCAAGTGCTTTCAACAACAGACCTTTCATTGACATTTGAAGAGCAAACGAATAATTTTGCTTGTTTTACAAACTCCAGTCTTGGCCTTAGGCCTTCTTTTAAGTTAGTTTGTGCTAGACATTCATTTGCCTTGCGGTCTGCGTTGAGATAATTTAACCAAAAGGGTAACTCAACATACCATTCATTAAAATTTTCAACCCTTTCAAATCTTCTTTCAATAGTTGCAAGAGAAAGGCCATCTTCATCTGCTTCTTCCGCTATCCTAGCCTTTCCTTCCTCTTCGTCATCTGTTAGGCCCTCTGCCAGTGGCTCTTACTGTTATGGCACTGTTGTCGTGTTTACATGCACGACTCCATCGTCCCCAGTGTTACTTTCATTGCTTGAAAAAGCCTGCCTCTTGTTACTCTCATTTGAAGACATTTTGTGTCACGAGAAAGAATAAATTTTGTTAAAATAAACGCTTTTCGAATTCTGCTATCAAGGTTCTTTTGATTGTCTTAGAGAAAAAAATGAGTGGAAGCGCACGCCTCTATTCGAGCTGTGCGAACCACATGACGTCACAGAATTTTCTTCTTTGTCTCCAATGGTGGGGGATTTCAAACGGCTTTTAGACCCCCATTCCATCAAAATTTACAGCTGTTACTTAGTTCATGATATCTCAGAAGGATAAAACTAGCATTTTGAAACAAAAAAACGGACTTGAAAAACTCATTTCATAGGCACTTTAAGTGCATGATGTGTAAGTTTGCTGTAACTGAGAAGGCCTATGTCATTGCGCATATCTGTTAGTAACTAACTCGAGATAAATTAATCAGAATGTATTTAACAGTTCCTTTATTTTATGCTGTGGGAAATTTTGTGTATTAAATTTACTGAAACTGTTTCCTTTGATTGTATTCCCAATTTTTACTACGGTTTGTTAAACAGAAACAGAAAACTGTGTATAGGTTTCACATGGAAATGGATCAGGCTGATACTGATGAAGATGGCTTTGATGAGGCATTTGAGGATGATGAATGCGAAAATTTAGACAAATAACTTGGACGAATATCGTATAATAAGTTACTGACTTGCTTTCTGAGTGGCTAACCCCTTTTTAAAAAAAACCAAGTTTACTTTTGACAGAAATTTCTGAAAGGCAGACAAGTCGATTCTGCAGGCAGGCTAAACAGTATATGTCGAAATTATTTGCTTTTTACATTTGTTGTACCTTTTTAAAAAGAGATTTCCGATGAAGGTCTCTGACCCTTGCAATTTCTTTAAAAATGGAATGAGCTTCCGCTTGCATCGGAGCAGAATAAACAAACTTTGTTTGTTTATTCTGATAACCATAGCTACATTGACTATTTGTTACTTAACGGTATGTACAAACTATCATTTTAGATTTGATGTGAATTTGCCGAAGTGTAGTCACCGTTTTCGATTTATGAAATGAAAGCAGATGTTCCTATAGCGTCATCTCTTTGAAAGTCAAAATCTGCGACGTGGATAGAAATACCAGAAAGTATATTGTACAGTGCACAAATAAACGCAAATCAAATTCTTTATTAAATCCTCGTCAGTTTAAATGAGACAAACAAAATTGGTTTATCTACTCATTAGGTGAGTTTGGTACTAGATTATTATGAAACCGCAATATTTTGTGTTCTTTATATCTTGCTTACTATCTGGTTGCATCATGTAACGCTTTCTATCCTGTTGCATCATGTAAACAGTTGGCTTATAACCAGTTTCCTCTATGTAACTAGAAACTTGTAATCAGAAAAGCGCGTTTATGTGACTTGTTTCACTCAGGCTATAGTCAGGGCTCTATGGAGATTCACACTGGAAATTTTTTGTGGGCAATTCAATTTTTGGCTTATAACATACCTTATACCTTGCACATGATAATTTTACTGGTTGGACACTTCCAAATTACTTCAGTAGGTCATCCAATCAAAGTTTTGTCAGCGCTGTTTTAGGCCTGTTTCTTCCACGGGCGCCATTCTGTTTTGTATGACAGACTTCTCGAGCAGGTTCTGATAAGTCTCAAAGGGGCTCCTATTTCCAAAAAAGATTAATTTTAGTGATTTTCCCATATAAATGCAGAAAAGTTGTTTTAAAAGGAAATTATGGGGATTTAACCCCTTAAAAGGGGGAGGGGCTAATGAACGAGTTCTCGAGAGATATGACATGTATCAATGTTCTCAGCTGATATTACTTCTGATGAAAGCTTCATTTTAATGGGAAATAGGGGTGGAAAATCTAGAAAATTTGATCATAGAGGCATGATGAATAAAAGGTGATATAAGAAATCAGGGGTTTCTACTGAAGACTTGGAGGAGGTTTGTTGTCCCTATTTGCTTAAGACAAAAATGGTAGTAATTCTTTGATTTAACACGATTTAACATATAACCTAAAAATCTTTGGCATATCCTAACCAAGTTGATATTTTTTTTCAAAAATTATATACTCATATGTACCAGCGGCTCCGATGCAAGCGGAAGAAGGGGGGGCTCATTCCATTTTTAAAGAAATTGCAAGAGTCAGAGACCTTCATCGGAAATCTCTTTTTAAAAAAATACAACAAATGTAAAAGGCAAATAATTTTGACATATACTGTTTAGCCTGCCTGCAGAATCAACTTGTCTGCCTTTCAGAAATTTTCTGTCAAAAGTAAACTTTCGAAAAAAGGGTTAGCCACTTAGAAAGCAAGTCAAGTTATTATACGATAAAGTTATTCGTCCAAATTTTCGCATTAATCATCCTCAGATGCCTCATCAAAGCCATCTTCATCAGTATCAGCCTCATTCATTTCCATGTGAAACCTATACACAGTTTTTTTTTCGGCACTTATTCTTCTTGCAGTTGCACGAAACTAGATCTAGAATGAAATCTGGTGCTGGATTTTGTGTCATCCATACTATTTCCAGCGCACTATCAGCATCGACTTCCCAACCATAACCATGTGGTGATAGAACTTCAGGGTTTTGCTCTAACGCCAGCTTGACTATGGCTGTAATGTAGGAGACGTGTTTGCAATGCTGAAGGAGTTTGTCACTGATCAGTGGACGCATTTGAGGCTCAGGAATCTTTCCTTTCGATGAGCAAAATTTTTTGTATCTGGCCTAATTCACATTTGTCAGGGAACTAAAGCCATAGGCAAACTCTTGGATGATCTCAAACAGATCGACATCAAATTCGAATTCGTCTCAAAAGTGGGAGAAAGCTTGCTGAAACCTTTCATCCTTCTTTTGAACTTTCAGGGCATTCACTTTTCCCTTGCCACGAAAAGCACTTGTGTAGTTGATGCCTGTGAAAGCATGCACTGCTGTAATGGATGCCCCAAGGTTGTCGTGTATTGCTTTTGCATCGAAAATTCGAGTTGAGCTTTTAGCACCAATTTGCACGTACACATCTATCTCCAATTGGCTTGCAAAATGTATTGGATATACGGCGATATTGCTGTCAACTGTCACAATACAGGCGTGTTGATGTCCAGTCACTTCTGCATGCTTGCAACAAAGGAGGACTTTTGCAGTCCTTTTCGTGAGCAAAATTACGCGTGTGTGGCAAATCGCACATGTAAACAAATTTGCGAGTGCGATCGCACTTGTAAGAAAATTTAAAGTACAAACCTGATAAAATGGCTTTGAAAAAAGCAAACATTTTACGACATACTAAAAGCTTTTTCGTCTGACACTCCTCAGAACATAAAACGTCAGAATAGGTTCCGAAAAAAACACGATGGAAAAATATATACCCAGTTGTGATCGAAATAGGCCAATCAGAAAAACGGAAGCACAAGACCGGTATAGTTGACCAATCAGTGCCGCGAGCCTAAAGAAAAATTACCAATGGAGTCCAAGAGAGAAAACGAACTCCTTTTGTCTACACAATGGTGGCTTTTTCGTTTTTATGTAGATTGACTCCAAAACTGCTAGATGGAAGGACGACCGGGCTCTGCCAATTATCCGATTATCTGCCAATTATATAAAAGTTCCGTCATTTATGAATTTACGTGCCAGTGTGATTCTGGCTACGTAGGACGCACAACCCAAGGATTGGGGGATAGGATAAAACAGCATGTTCCTTCCAACATACGAAACAAAACTGCCCCTCAAAGAGAACAGCCTCCTCGATCTTGTAGGTCTAGAAACACTGTTAAAACAAGTGATTCTGCCATTGGTCAACATCTTTTAGGCAACCCAGATTGTGCAAAACTCTATAATGACGACATGTTTTGGATAATTGGCAGAGCCCGGTCGTCCTTCCATCTAGCAGTTTTAGAGTAAATCTACATAAAAACGAAAAAGCCGCCATTGTGTAGACAAAAGGAGTTTGTTTTCTCTCTTGGACTCCATTGGTAATTTTTCTTTAGGCTCGCGGCACTGATTGGTCAACTATACCGGTGTGATACTAAAATCTGCGTGGCAACCAAATCTGCGTGGGCCCACTCCAAATCTTTTTTTTAAGTCTGGATCATCTAATTTGCATAACAGAGGCCGCTCTGCATGCAGCCCATGCGAAAGCTTTTTTGGCGCCTGTACCCTGCATGGACGTTGCATAATGCCATTTCACGTATACGTAAAAGAATGTGGCAATCCAGAGCCATTGCTAGGCAAAAGCTTTACATCATTCTACTCTCACGTTCTTTTCACCTTTACTATATTTAGTTTTTTGTCATAGAAAGTAGGATGATGGGCGTATAATAATGATGGAAATTTTTCATTTTCAATTCAATTAAAACTGCAATTTA